TAGTTCAGTAGTATGACATCATGTCAAACACTTTCCTGGTGTGGCATCAGGAAAGGGCAGAAGGTTGGACCCTTTTACTCTGCCGGATTGGGACACCTTTATAATTGCATGCAATGTATTGTTTGTTTTTCCAAGCATTATTCACCCTTTTGTTGACCAAATACTAATTGTAATTTCCTCCCTGGTCCCCCTCCCCACCCAGCCAGTCAAACCTGTACCTGTGGCACTGGAAATGGATGAAGAATCCCAGCTTGAGTTAGCCCTGAGCCTGAGCAAGGAGGAGCACCAGCAGGTAGGGTTTGTTGTTGTCACTGGGGGGGGGCAAACACTTTTTATTTTTGGAGATGCTGAGATTTAAACTTACATTCTCATGTCACTGTTTCCTGTGGCAACAAACAGTAAATGATGATGGGTCTCCCAACTTTTTGTTTTTGAAGTTGTTTTGAATTATTGCTGTAGTCATTGCTTGTTTCATAGTTTATTAGCTTTTCTAGACCAAAAAAAACTTTAAGCAACTTCACAGTTAACTAGCTCCAGGGAACCTTTCTGGCTCTCCTAACCCACCACAGCTGGGTGAATGAAACGGTCACTTATCGTGTGACTCTTGGGATTTTTCCTGGGAAAGTCCCCACATAGATCAAGTTTGAAATGCTACACATGCAAGTGCTTTTATTGGTGAACCATTGGCTCAATGACCATTGTGTTACTTGATAGACTTTTTTTTCAATTGGAAATCTTCAAGATTATTACCTTGAATTAAGTAATGTGATCCTACCTTTCATTTTAGGTTACAGATTAGGGAATCATCCTCCATGTTTTATTGTTTTCTCTAATAATGATCAACCACTTTAAAATGGCAAACTTGCTTCTTTCTTATCACTGTTGTTTTATCTGGTGTAACTTCTCACTGTCTCAGTCCTTTTCCTCCCTTGTTTCCTCTCTAACTATGCCACAATAGAGCTGCTCTGTTAGAAATCGGAGTGATATCTCTCTTCTGTTTGACCACAGAATTTGGTTGGTTTGTGCCCATCGCACTCATCTATATCTGGGTCATACGTTACCCAGAAAAAAACAAACAAGCTGGCTTTGGAGCTAGTGAGCATGGGTTGAGTCATAAATACACTATGAAGTGACAAATTACAATATGGGAATTTTGCCGGAAGCTGTCATGCCCAAAGGCGACCATGTGTCTTTCTGTTGACAGGAGCAGCTCAGTCGCCAAGGAGATGAATTGACGCTCAAGAAAGCTCTGGAGGAAAGCAAACATGAGATGGATTCTAAAGGCGGGGTATGAAATATTGGGGTATGGAATATCTCAATGGGGGTGGTGAAATACAACCATACATTGTAGTTTAGTGTTTTTCTCATGCTTCGAGGACTAAAATAAAATTACAAATGATATTGACTTATGATAATGATTAGGTGCTTGATTATTTGGTGGAATCATGTTTTACATCTCCAGAATAACATTACACTTTTTGAAAAATTAAATTCAACTTTTTCATTGAGGATTTGATAACCGTCTGAGAGTAGAAGCAATATACTAAATTGACCCTGTTTTTCTTGTTTTTGTCAGACTGCCTTCATGGACCTTGTAGATGTTTTCGCATTGCCCTCAGCGCAGCCTCCTCGTGACCACCGATGGAATAATGCCCCCCCTCAGGCAGCTGCTCCTCAGGAGATAAGGGATCCCTGGGACACAATGGGTGAGACTTGAGTTAGCTTACCATGACTAAAGAAGGAGAGTTCAAAGGATAAGTTGGTATATTCACTTTGAATTGTCACGTGCTGAAAAGTGCTATATACATAAACTTGCCTTGCCTTGCCTATATTTTATAAAAGTAACTTTTTATCATTAAAGGAACTGTTACCGTATCCTTCCATATTATGATGAGATATATAATCAGAACAGGAGGAGGCAGAGAAAGCAGAATTAGTTTTTTTACTTATTATTTCTCTAATCCCCCCGTCAGGGAAATGTAACAGTTAGAGCAAATATGAAGAAATATCTTCCTTTAAAAGTATCCAACTGAACCTTTGAGCCAAAGTTGTGTAGTAAATAATAGTCAGAAACATTTGTTGCCTTATTTTAGAGTGCAGTGTTGGAATGAAACCCAACATTCTTCATATTTACGGCACAACATGTTCTGCCTTTAGTTCATGCTAAAACAGGAGACTCTCTCTCTCTCTCTCATTCACCTGTCTGTTACTAAAAAAGGCAGCACTAGCATCCCGACGGTAGATCCTCCCTGGATGGCACCGCCAACTGCCAACAGCCCCCCTCCACCATGGGAGCCCACAGTCGACCCCTGGGATGACCCTCAGAGCCACCTGAAGGCCCCCGGCCAAGAATGGGCCTTCCCTCCCAGCACAGGTAATATAAGCTCCCATGCAGCTCAGCCGAAAAATAAATAGGAGGTGCAACATAGATATTTACAAAGACATATTTAAAATAATATAATGAAATGTATGTGGGTATGTTTATAGCCTCCTCTCAAATGGATGCATTCTCAGCACACATGGGAGCTACAAGGGACTCCGGTGCTCGACCTGGAAGCCCCTCAGGTAAACAGTGAATTATTTTACTGTTTTGTGGTTCTGTGCATCCCACACATTTGCAATGTAAGAACTTCATATTTTTTCGCTTTTAGATGGCGATCTGTTTGATGAGGCCATGGATGGAGGCCAGGTGAACTTGAATGGGCGAGGAGAGGGCAGTCCTGAGCTTTTTGACCTGTCACGTCTTGGAGAAAGCTTGGCTGCCCCCAGCCCTCGTTCATGCAGGACACCTGAGGCCTTCCTGGGCCCCACAGCAGCTTCCTTGGTGAACCTGGACGCCTTGATCCCAGTAAACCCCCCAGCCAAGATCCTGAACCCCTTCCTATCAGGTAATATCTGTACTATTGGCTGAAGATACAATACTATTTTTGGGAAAGACCAGGGAAGTCAAGAGACTTTAATAGCTGAAACTCTAGCTTTAAATCAGTTCTGTGTAGACTGATCTATTAAAATGTTATTTTTCTCACATTTATGCAGAATCTAGAGTCAAATTAAGCCGGCTCAAAGTGAACGACGGGAGCCGGCTCGAACAGGCCTTTTTTTCATTTTTATAAATGATCTCCGCGCTACGGGTGCTCCGTGAATGCATGCAGTGACATGTAATATCCAAGGAGACTGTTGGATGCTGCTGTTTTGAGCATTGCAATATATTTATTAGGCTCAGCAAAGATTTGTTGTCAGTTTGTATAGGTGTTGCTATTTGCTTTTTTATAGCGTGGTTCTACAATCAGAGAGTTACAAGGGTCTGTAAATGCAATGAAAACAATTGGCCACAGCAAATAATTTATATTACAAATGTAATTTTTACTTTTGAATATTTCAGTACAAAGGATGTATTGAATAATTTAAGTGATATATAAGTACACATATAAATCATTAGTCAAAACAGGGCTAAATTTGATTTACCTATTCACCCCGCCCCCTTAAAAAAAAAAAACTCTTTTGAACGGCTCTCGCAAAGGAATGGAGCCATAAGATCCGGCTCCCTTCAAAGAGCCATAATTCCCATCACTAATATCAATGATCCATTTGCAAACTCTCGCACAACTCTTGCAGTATAATCACAGTCTAATTCACTTGGTTTGCTCACAACTCACCAAACACATGGTCCTTAAACCATTCTGTATGAAGCTGACTTGCACATACGAGTAGTGTGCCTGGGCATATGTGTGATTGTTAATGCAGAAGGGTTGAGAATATGAAAATATTTGTGGGGGAAGTATTCCTTTGGGGCAAACCTAATAGTTTTCTGTTGTTTTCTTTCTGTCTAGGTCTGAGTGCTCCTTCACCCAACAATCCATTCCAAACTGAGCAGCCCAAACTAACTCTGAATCAATTGGGCTCTGGCTCGATATCTTCTGCGCCTCAGGGCACTTCCCTTCCATACAGTGCCTCCTTGCCCCTGCCAATGAGCCACCAGCCTACTAGCCTCCCTATGTCCCTCACTCACCCCACCCAGCCAGGTTTCGGCCTGCCGGGGACCCTCCCTGAGCCCTTGTTGCCCTTCTCTTCAGGAAGCACCGACGGATCACAGGCTGCACACAGCAGCCAGAACCCTTTCTTATGAGGACCAACTAAACTGGAAATATAATCTAAGAAAAAGGGGAACGCTATTAGATTTTGCTCTTGAAATATAATTCTAATCAAAGACTGAACTTCAGCCCCAAGGACTTGTATGACTTCTTAGTCGTTTTTATAATGTAGTTACCTTTAGATTGATGCAAGCTGGTTCGACTCTTCTCTGCAATGATCTGTCCTGCTACTCTTGTCATGATTGCATTAGTAGGGTATACAATTGATAACACCTTTTTTATTAGAAACCATTCGTGTCATGTTAACCTTCTACCTTTTGCAAATTCAATTTAGACAAAACATACACAAAAGCAGTTTGTTAATTGTTCACTTAGCCACAATTACCAGGCAAATTGACTATGGCTTTAGAAGAAGGCAACAAGTCTTCTGCTCACTACTTCTGCCGTCATGGGCACATAGATTTGTGTTATTCCTGTGAAGAGACAAGAGTTGTATGGATTGTGGGTTTCTGTTGGCGCCAGAACTGATGAAAACATCAGTGTGTACATTATTATACTCAAGTGAAATTAATTGCTGGGCTTAACTGAATGAAATGATAGTTTTGGAGGACTGGAAGTGCTTCAAAATGCACAATAAGCAAGGGAACATGTAATAATTAAGAGTTTAATTGCTTGTGATCCACTGAATCATCAAATATAAGGGTGTAATCACAACGCTGCGTCATTCTTTAGTTGGTTTTATTATTTTGTATGTTCTAATTTTTCTGTGATATCAATGCATTATAATGAAATTATGAAATCTCAGACTCACAGCTAGTTGTGGTTCCAGTATTTGTTAACTTTATGCCCCCTGCTGGTAGTGACTCATTGCCACCATGCTGCATCACTTACAGAAATCAGACTATTTTGTTTTAATATAAAACAAGTCTTTACTTAGACATGAGAATCTAACTGCAGTTAGTCATACATTCCAGCGGCGTATCTGTGGCATTTAATTGGTAAAGGTGACCAGTATAAAAACAACTAACTGTAAGATCTACAGTATTATTTGGTTTAACAAGAGTTATGGTACTTAATAATCACAACATCCTGCCATAATACACTAATATATTTCCTTTCCCATTCACACTGTTGAACAGTAGCCATATGTATATGGAACCAAAGATACAGCACCAGTTCATCAGTTTAACACATCATTAAGTCCATCCAAACTGTGTGTACATTTACATTGTCTTTGCACACAGACATTTCAGACATATCTTGCCAAGAAGCTAGATCAAGTCCTGTGGGAGGAGCATATTTTCATAAGGAAAAAACATATGATATTTCACTTGACTATGATGGACTCCAGCCAGCTCAGCACCTCCTGAAGTCCCTGTCCAGAGCGGGCACTGAGTTCCTGTGTTGTGATCGGCTGAGTAGCAGATGCAATGATGTCATCCATTCTGAACAGCGACTTTATCTCCACGAGACTCATAGTGCAGGGCATGTCCCTGGACAAGGGGAAAAACAACAAATAAAATGAGAAAATACACAATGGCACAAACAAAACTCACCAAGAGACGGAATTAAGATAATGGATACATATTGTGTTCCTTCTGCTGACACTGACCGCTATGGTAAGTACATTTAGTGAACAATGTGTGTGTGAATGTCACCTCTTGTTGAATAGAATAAGCACAGAGGCATTGTGCAAATGCTCAGCAGAGAGAACTGACAGCAGCTGGATACAGGAGGCGGATATCTGAGCAATGTTGGCTGAGTCCACCATGAACTATGAGAAAGCCAAAAAAACAAACAAATAATGCGACCAGTCTTTTGTCAACTGTTGCAAATTAACACGGTAAAAATAACATACAATTACAGATGAGCAGTCTTTGAAGTAACTCGGCCATATAGGACCCATGCAGCCTCCCAGCTCTCTCAATGTCATCTTCTTCTTTTTCAGTTTCAGGTCTGTCAGGTTGGTTCCTACCTGTGGAGGTTACAAAAAAACGAGAGCATTACATGGATGGCTTTGTCTCATAAAAACTGCGAATATATTAAAACTACCTTTCAATAACACTTACTGTAGGCAGGGTAGAAGGAGGTTCGCCCAGTTCCTCCAATCCATGCAAACTGAGCTGTAAACTAAATATGTCATGGAAGATATCCACTGGTGATAACCATCAGCTTTAGAGAAAGCAACTTATTTCAATATCATATTTAAACAGTTTATGATATATCATAGTACGACATGTTTGATCAGTTATAAATGGGACAGTTTGTACTAATCGTTTTGATACATGTGCGTGTTATTTAAATACAGTGTGACAGTATCGTGTCATGTATTTGCTCAAATCCAGTCTACAAATATTGTTTTGCAACTAAATGCGTACTTTTCCGGTGCAAGATTAGATAGTAGGCCACATCCAATAATTATCTACAAAACGCTTGTATACAGTTTGTGAATTACTTACTCTGTAACTTGCCTTAACAGTTCATTGGAATTACTAACGTTACACCAGCTCATCAGGCTAAATTAGCCTACGTTAGCTAGATAAACCAATTAACTTTAATTGTTGTATTCCACCTTTTCTCAAATGTAGTTCAAAACATTCTACTGTGCACAAAGGATATTTTGTAGACGTTTCAGCAACAACGTTTTCCCGACGCCAGTTGCTCCAAGAAGCAGACAAATGTCATCTCTGTTCATTTCTGTTCAGGAGCATACCGAAGCTAATGCTAGCATGTAGTCGTTATAGCTAGCTTCACTTGCCACCAAGGCAACGCTCACGTGGCCGTGATTCGTTGCTGTGATAGGACGAAATATGAATGAGTCACTTCTGTCTGTTTTTCTGATTGGTGGAAGAAAACAGATCACCGTCCCCGGAAGCTGTCAAAACCCTGGTCAAAACGCCCCCCCCCCCCCCCCCCCCTAACTTCGGGCCCTGCAAGAGCAGTTTGTTGTTAGCATTAGCAACACTTTATCCTGTCAAATTGGTGGCAATAATAACCATGGAAGCTCAATTAAAGAAAGAGCTGGGGACAGCCATGCTGAAGTCAACGGGTCACTCGGGAGGTGGATGTATCAGCGAGGGCCAGAGTTATGATACTGACAATGGGAGAGTGTTTGTGAAGATCAATCACAAGAAAGAGGTATGTGATTATCATTGTTTTGTATTTGAATTACATATACTGACTTGTATTCAGTTGGTGTCTGATCAAATACGTTCTCAGTAGATAGACCATCTTAAAGCTAGACAGACTGCCACTAAACTTTATGCACACATTGTGAAATTATTAAGACTACAATAATTATTTATCATGCTATATAGTGTTTAGATCTGTGCTACTGGCCACATCACCCCAATTCTGGCCTCACTACACTGGCTTCCAGTCCGGTTCAGAATTGATTTTAAAATCCTTTTATTTGTATTTAAAGCACTAAATGGGTTGGCTCCGGCCTATATAGCTGAACTCCTCCAGCGCTACACCCCAGCCAGAGCTTTAAGATCTGCTGACCAACTGCTGCTGGTAGTGCCTAAGACCAGGCTCAAAACCCGAGGGCACCGAGCCTTCGCAGCAGCTGGCCCCAGGCTCTGGAACACTCTTCCCCTCCATGTGAGGTCGGCCCAGACCCTAGGGGCTTTTAAATCCACACTGAAGACACACTACTTCTCTCTGGCCTTCTAGTTAGAGTGGGGTTACGACTCCTGACTGTTCCATGTGTTGTTTTTATCTGTTGTGATTTATTGTGATGTAATGTGTTTTTATGTGTTTAAATTACATGTACAGCACTTTGGCTCGACCAAAATCGTTTTTAAATGTGCTCTACAAATAAAACTTGATTTGATTTGACTGGACTTGTCACCAGCCTAAACTCATTTTCTATTTAGGCCAAATTGATGTTCGATGGGGAGATGGCCAGTTTGGAAGCAATTTTAAAGACAGAAACTGTTAAAGTCCCCAAGCCTGTGAAGGTCATTGAGCTTGACACAGGAGGATGTGCATTTGTGATGGAACATCTGGACATGAGAGGTCTCACCAAGTAAGAGCTACCTCCGACAATGTGTTTGGTACTTTATCAGTAAAATAGAGGGCAAAATGAAAATGTGTATCTGTGGCATTTAATTGGTAAAGGGGGCCAGTATAAAAATACTAACTCTAGGTAAGATATACTATAGTAGTATTTATTTGGTTTAACAAGTGTTATAGTAATCATAGCATCCTGCCATGATATCACTAATATATCTCCTTTCCCATTCACACTGTTGAACAGTAGCCATATGTATATGGAACCAAAGATACAGCACTAGTTCATCAGTTCAACGCATCATTAAGTCCATCCAAACTGTGTGTACATTGTCTTTGCACACAGATATTTCTGACATATCTTGCCAAAAAGCTAGATCATCATGAAAATATAGCCGTAAAAGTATCTTTTTTTTTAAACAATACTTTACTTATTTCCAAACCCAATGTTTAGGTACTCAAAGCACCTAGGCGAGCAGCTGGCAAACCTGCATGGTCACAACAAGAGACAGTTGGACACATTTAATAAAGAGCAGCAGACAGTGGGTAATTCAACTTAACATCACCTTCATACATTCAAAAAAATACACACGCAAAGTAAAATCAATCATCCTTTTTCCATTACTACACTGAATAACAGTTGCTTCTCAAAATATGATGCTATTTTAATGCGGATGATTATATAATGTATTTTACTGTACACAGGAAAAGGAGCTGGACAAATGGAGGTTGCTGTGGTTGACACATTTGGCTTCAGTTTACCTACATGCTGTGGATATCTACCGCAGGTACAAAATACAAATCTGTCAAAACGAAACTGTCTTGTAATCTCTAATATCTATGTGTAGTACATTTATGTGGTGTTTAAGTGTTACTGCATTTATTGTTTCCCCTTATGTCTACAGGAAAATGAGTGGCAGGATGACTGGGTGATGTTTTACTCCCAGCAAAGGCTGCAGCACCAGCTTAACATGGTGGAGAAATCCTATGGAGACAGACAGGCCAGTGAACTATGGGCCAAGCTACAGGTGCACCTGACCCCATCAATAGCAAACTATATTGTATACATGTCCCTATGTTTGTATCAATGATTTGACAGTGCAACTTACATATTGTGTCTGTTATTTACAGCTGAAGATCCCTCAGTTTTTCACAGATGTGGAGATTGTCCCTGCTCTCCTCCATGGAGACTTATGGGGAGGCAACGTGGCACAGTGTGCAGAAGGCCCAGTCATCTTCGACCCAGCCTCCTTCTATGGTCATTCAGAATATGAGCTGGGTATTGCCGGGATGTTTGGTGGCTTTGACAGCTCTTTTTACTCTGCTTACCATGAAAAGATTCCTAAAGCACCTGCAGGTTTTGCAAAGAGAAACCAGCTTTACCAACTCTTCCACTATCTGAATCACTGGAACCACTTTGGTGGGGGATACAGAGGCTCTGCAATAAGTATTATGAAGGACCTTCTGAAATAACTGCATTAACAATAACTTGTAGAAAACGTTAGTGTTAAACTCACACTGAAGTATCTACTGTATTTTGACAGATGCACATTTTAAGAGAACTTGTATGGCCAAGTGTTGAGACATACATTATATTCAAACTATGCAATGTTTATATTGTGTAGACAATACAGAACCAACAACACAAAACAATTCTGCTTTGCCTGCTACACCTACCAGTCTGCTTCCAAAATATGACAAACAGAATTCATATCTTCTAATTATCTTACATTGTATGTTTGAACAAGAATATACTGTATACTTTAAAGTATAAAGGCAGGCTACGGGTACCGGGAATTTAAGCTCGTTTTTTAGTTATAATTATATATGCCTAGAAGTTTCAAGTTGGTCCTAAACTCTATATGCTTCTTTAGTCTGCTGCTATCGTATGCATTGCCTGCATACGATCAATTGAATTTATCATATTCCCAGAGTTTGCAATGCTTTATACTTTGTCAAGATCATTATAGTCTGACTGTTGATACATCCAGACTGAAGCATTCACTAGAAAATCTGTATTTTAGTAGACTCTTGCAATATTATATGTCCACTGGCTGCTAAACCAATAATTAATCCTTGGATGAACCAAAGGCTTAGCTCTGAGCTGCTGTATTTGTTATCCACCTGATAATGAAAGGTATTAAAGTTGACTGTAACACTTTCCTCTTCCTCGTCATAAAGAGCTCTTCTTACTGTCTTTTGGACCTGCGCCACCAGAATCAATATCTCCTCTCCCAGGCTGTTTTTTTTTTACTGTTTTGTCTTGTCTCCTAGCAAATGCACGTATTAACATAAACCACACATAATCAATAAAATATGAAGAATACATTCTAAAATATCAACGCCTGAAACATGTAGGCTAGTTTGCTCTTCATTGATTTAAATAGCAAGAAAAAGTGGGATGCAGACGGCAGTGAAAAAGAAAAATGACATCCAACCACCCGTCGGTATGTAAACATCCCTCAGAAGGATGAAATCACATTGACAAGGCCGGGGGAAGAAGGATTTTGTTCATATCATTAAGAAAACTGGGATTAAAAACGTTTCCCCCTTATAACACGGCTTGGCGACCGGCTGTATCAAAGGAAAAGTAAGAAGAAGACGACAAAGGGCAAGAACAATGACGTTTCTACACCGATGAGAGGCAGCAATACACCAACGTGTGTCTACTCTGCCGGAAATAAACCAAAGAAGAAGCATTTCTGGGGCGGGGCGCGAGTTTGACTGCCATGGTTTGACTGCGTACATCACAACAGAAGAGCTGAAGACTAATGACTGGGTTTAGTTTAATGCTATTAAATTCATTTTTTGTGTAGTCTTTTTTCATGCCATTACTGGCTATCCAAGTCCGTGTCGTAGCTATTTGAGTTCAATACATTACATCGTTTCTCAAGCAATTTTGTTTGTTTTTGTTACGTTTGCTTGTGTTGAATGCTAATAGTAGCTAGCTAAGTGTGTTAGAACCGTTATAACGCTAACGTTAGCCTCTGCATCAACGTGAGAAGTCTGACAGGATGGCCTCATCGGAGACAGACAGTGGGTGTCCCGGTGTTGAAGAAGGAGAGTCTTTTGTAAAACTGTGCGTGTTGGAGGGCTTCAGTGAGAGCAGCGAGACCAAAGCTCTCATAGCCAGCCTGCCTGAGGTCCACGGGGACATGGTGACAAGCGAGCGCGCCACAGAGAAGTTCTTAGGTGAGACAGGCATCCACAGACAACATGAAGCACAGCATGTCATTTTAACCGTGGCTTGTTCGCAATTCATCACACTGTTTCTTCCTACAGTGACAATGGACAGATACCAAGAGCAGCCTCATCTCCTGGACCCTCACTTGGGTAACGTGCACTGTGATGACAGCACACACACAATCTATATAGAAGAATATGTTTATGATAACATATTTCAAACTTGGTTTCAGAATGGATGGTTAACATGATACTGGAGTTTGTGAGGAGTGATACGTCCCCGCCTCCGTTAGTTCATTTGAGTTTCAAGTTTCTCTACATCATCTGTAAGGTCAGTCTAACACAGTGTTCACATTGGCGGTGTCTTCACTACTATGTCAGTGAAAACCCACCTGACTGCACTAAAGAGAAGAATACAAACAGAATTGTGTTTATTGTTTTAATTCAAAAGGCTGAATTGTGTCATTTGTTTGCAAAATCTGCTATCAGAAATGGTTTACAGTGTTTCCCACAGATCTGAAATATACTTGTGGGGGTGGTGGTAGCGGGGACGTGCCTTTGTGACGTGCAACAACATTAACATTAACCTTTCTGTTGGTCGCTTGTTAGCAGACCCTTCACGCGATTGCAGAGCGAACAGGTACAGGCAGGGCCCATAGTGATAGCCCTATAGTTTAAATCACCCACACATGAAAATATGGAAATGAGTTACTATTTAAAAAAATTAATTTATTTATAAATTTATTTAGGAACCTATCCATGTGATTTTTAGTGGGGGTCGACCTCAAATCCTCTAGGGGGGTCCAGGGGCATGCCCCCGGTAAGATTTTATTTTTTATTTTGGAGTTAAATGCATCAATCTGGTGCATTTTGAGGGGGAAATAAAGAGACTAGATCTATGGAAACACCTATATTAAACAGAACTGTATACATTTCAATAATCATAAAATCATGGCCATAACCAATAACATACCATTTCCAATATGAAAAAAACACTGAAACTTGTTTATTAATTTATTTTTGGTTCATTTATAGTTGTGAGTGTGTCTGTGCTCCTGAATCAGCCTCTCCTGTCTCCCTCCTCTCCCCCCTGCTCCTCTTTGAGGCAGCAGCAAAGACTAGCTTTCTCTCAACAAGTTTTAAAAGTGTATCTTACCTTTTTTCACCTAGTTAACTTTTTATTTATTTATTCATGCATATTTTACTAATCACATTACATTTCATTTAGCTGACACTTTTATCCAAAGCGACTTATAATGACCGATTACAGGGACATTCTCCCTGGAGTAACTAAGGGCTAAGTGCCTTACTCAAGGGCACACTAGTGTTCCTGGCAGGATTTGAACTCACAGCCTTCCGATCTTCAGCCCACCTCACTATCCATTAGACCAATCACTACCCTCTCAAATGGAAATATGTGTTTACATAAATGGTGACCACACCGTTTGAGACCCACTGAGAACTTAGACTAAGTTAACTATCTAAACACTCAGAGAGTCCTTTACCTCACCTGAGCTGAGGTTATCCCGAGCTTGAATGACACACAGAGACCAATCAAGGGCTTTGATTTATGATCTGTATGACAGTGGCCATGTCATGTGGACAGCCAGTCACCCTGTGTGAGGCAGGCCACTTAACAGGCCAGAAGGAGGCGAGATCAGAGCAAGGGAGCGAGGGATCATTGTCCACAAGTTAATCGATCGCAGATGGCGTCGTGGTCACGGACGAATAAAAAAAAAAAGTTATTTAAAAAAAAAAAAAAAAAAAACCTAAATGGGTCGCGAAATATACTTGGGCTCCCGTTAATATACCTGGGCAGCCCGCCCAAGTATAGTCTATGTGTGGGAAACCCTGTGTAGACAGCCAGTCACCCTGAGGCAGGCCACTTAGCAGGCCAGGCCATCGGGAAACCCCCCGGTCCTCCCGATGGCCAGTCCGGGACTGGGTACAGGAGGCGTAGAGCAAGGGATCATTGTCCACAAGTTAATCGATCGCAGATGGCGTCGTGGTCGCGGAAGGAAACAAAAACACCTAAATGGGTCGTGAAATACCTGGGCGGCCCGCCCAAGTAAAGTCTATGTGTGGGAAACCCTGGTTTATAAAAGCATCATATCACATCCACACAGGAAACATTTGCATTAAACAACAATATATAACAGAAGATGCATCAGATACTCGACAGTGTAGGGCTAAATCAAAAGATAATTACATATAAAATGTTGTGTGCAGGAGCAAGTTTTCTTCAAAAAGTGGTTGTCCTTACTGATTGCAATACGTTATGGAATCAACATATATATATATATATATATATATATATATGACATTCATGGCAATTGCGTAATGTATTTTTTTCTTGGCAGGTCAGAGGCTATAAAATCTTCATGCAGCTTTTGCCCCATGAAGTGGCAGATGTCCATCCAGTACTGGACCTGCTGTCCAGGCAGGATCCCAAAGACACTGAGGTAACACTGATATTATTTCTCTTGGGGAATTTTACAACCACACCTCTCTGCATTGACCTCCTATTTGGTTGAATGTATAATCTTTTTGTTGTTGGCTTTATCAACTATTTAACATTAGTGTGTTTTCCATACTTTTTCCAGACTTGGGAAACTCGCTACATGTTGTTGTTGTGGCTTTCCATGACCTGCCTCATACCCTTTGACCTTTGTCGTCTGGATGGTCACCTGGATTCAGACGGCGGCAAGGCCAAAGAGTCCACCATGGACCGTATTCTAACTATTGCAAAGGCAAGTAAAGTATAGCAAATTATTTTGGTGTTGTTTAGCAGTTTTGTGTAAGAGATATAGATCTGTATCAGTGTGCAATATTGGGGTGTACCTCAATGTGGGCGGAGCTCTACATTTGACTCAGTCACCCTTGTTGTGGCACACCCCAAATTGCAAATGTACCCAAAGGCACCACCTGCTGGCGATGCGTGCAACACATTCACACACGCCATTATGGCACAAAGGTAACATATTATACATTATATTATTATAACATCAACAACTAGCTAGTGTGCTGGACTGGCCATCTGGCATACCGGGCACTTTCCCGGTGGGCAGACACAACTTAAAGACGCACGTTTAGACCTGCCAATTGTTTTCATATTTTTTGTTAATTTAGGCTGGGCTGGGCAAATCACATAATCTGTCACCTCCCCTTTGGGCTTCGTGCGACATCATTCAATTGTACATCGACAAAAAGTTTGAGTGAGAAATCAAGAAGTCAAAGCGTAAAGGAGGCGCAGAGAAACTGCGGGCGAAGAAAAAGAAGGCCCTTCAGGCAGATGCTGCCGATTGTGTAAAAATGACAGACATGTTTGCTGCAGGTGCAGGGCCATCTACAGCTGGACGCTGTTGGTGGTGAGGAGAATGAGAATAGGGAGAGAGATCAGCGCGAGGGTGGAGAGAGATCAGCGCGAGGGTGGAGAGAGAGAGAGAGAGTAAGCTGAAGTTAAGAAAATAGGTTGGCCACCTGGCTCAACAACATGTTGTGAGAGGTGACGAGGTTATGATCAGTGGCGGCCGGCCCATAGGGGCGCTAGGGGCGCCACCCCACCTCTTCCCACATACAAAAAAAAAAATTAAATAAAAAAATATATATTTAAAAAAAATATATATTTTATATTTTTATTTTTAATGAACAAGGTAAATATCATACAATTGGTATCAGTAAAATGTATAATCTACAATAAAATCTCGTTTAAAATTGTGTTACGATGTCTAAAGTTATTGATAAGTCACATGTTTCCTGCCTGGCCTTGCCCATGGCATTAGTTTATCATTACCGGGCGGAGCCCCCGAGACAAACAGCAGCAACCAGCACGTTGCAAAAAAACTGTGCCGCCGAAACATAATTTCAGCCAATCAGCGACGTCAAATATTTTGGTCACGAGGGCGCTCACGTTGGCGCCCACGTTGCTTACGTGCGTTGACGTGAGTTGCTTTTTAGACTCGTGACGTGAGTGACCAAGGTGACGCAGCAGTAGTTGGATGAGAATGGTGTGCAGGTCGAGTCGCAGGACCTCGGTCCGCACCCAAACAAGTAAATGCTATCTTTTGTTTCCCATGCTAGACAAAAGTGAAACAAGTACAAACCACAGACTGTCTGTGTCATGGAGAATACAGTCGCTGGTTTATTTATGTCTGTATAGGCCGTTATTGTGAGTGTGGACGGTCGGAGCATATATAACGTTAGCTTAACCAAGCTCCATTCAGAAAACAAGCATTCTAAAAGGTTTTTCGCCTGCAGACTTGTCAAAGCATTAATTCATGGTTTTTACTAACCGGTATCAGTATTTTGTTAATTCGGCATCATTTAGAAACGTGTATTACAATTTAATCACGGTAAAATATGTTCATTTTGTTGTAGTTGTAGCTCCCGAGCCAGCGCGTCTTGTTTGAATGATGCGAGTAAACACAGCTGGCAGCCGCAGTGAAACTAGAGCGACTAGAGCGATGCGATGGGAGCGTTTAGAGCGAATCGAATATTCGCATCGCGTCCGGTCTGAACGCAGCATTAAAGCGAGCTCCGCGCTGCACTGGAAACGCGCCATTACATCACCAGAAGTCCTAATTTAAGGGGTAATTTCTCCCCAAAAAAAAAATGTTTTTACTCACTATATCAACAGCCCCACCAAAAATATTTTCCACCAGCCGCCACTGGTTATGATACTCTATCATTTGGGACCCCATTAATATCCCTTGATGAAGCACTTTCTAATAGAGTGGCGACGTCCCTCCCCTTCCAGGGGAGCTCCATGGGACCTTATTTCGAAAATATTATGTATTGAAGTCAATGGAGAGAGAAAGATTATCTTTCGATCCCGTTTGAATTGTGCCACGAATTACACATATGATGTTTGTCAATTTAAAAGATCATTTTGCAAGTAAAAAAAAAAAAGTGTCGTAAAACTGTAAAGTATAACACATTTGTTTGTGTGAAACGCTGAATGAACTACATCTCTGGTCTCGCAGAACAACACACGTCACCAAGATGGCCGTCACTACTGTCTTGTCAACAAAACGATTGACTACCCTCACTAGTATCACCACAATGAAACACGTCCAGAAGAATGTCATGCAAAGCTGCCTGCCTGCCTTCATTTGATTCTCTCTGAACTGCCTGGTCTTTTTAATGTTTAATGTCAACCATTTGTGCAGATAGCATGAAGTAGAAAAGATCGGCGATCGCCGATGCTAGCGTTAGCATTTCTCCCCCGGGCTTAAATGGTGTATTATAGAATGATCACACCGGTGACGGTACTCTTCAAAGGGTTCACAAAATATGACTACTACTCTTACTGTTTAACATTTTGGGTTACTTAATGTTACTTCATATTAAGGCAGATAAAAATGACAAGGCTGTAATGCTAACTAACGTGCTAGCCACTAGCTAGGTAGCTAACTTGATCCAGCCACTCCTGGTCCTTTCATCAGACGGGAAGCGAAAGAACGAGCAAGACCCATTGCTGGTATGATAACAACCTGTTACTAAGCACACAGGCATCTTGTTAAAGTTATCTTATCTTAGCCAGCGCCATATAGATAGATTATATCTATATGGCGGCGCTGATTTTAGCTATCTCTTAGTGGAGGGAACCAATTGTGACATCACTTACGCGACTCTGGGATTTGTAGTCTTTCTAGTTGCATATTTTTCATAGTCTTATATTTCAACAATTTTATGACAAACTGTGACTTTTTTGACATGGAACTTATTTTTTTAAGATTGACAAACATCATATGTGTAATTCATGGCACAATTCAAACGGGATCGAAAGATAAGTTTTCTCTCTCCCGTTTGAACAGTTTCCGAAATAAGGTAGCATGGACCGGAAGTAGATGGGCGTGACTTCGCCACTCTATAAGACAAATCTTAAAAGACAATCATTTGGTAACAGCTAGTAAGCTGGCTCTTTTGGGTTTTTCCTTATGAGCTAAAAGCTAGTATTTAATACAAAATGATGAAAATAAACAAAGTAAATCTTTCAAGAAGATCTACATCTCTGTGAGTGATGTGGCGGATCTAATGTTAAGAATGTTATCATCTTGTGCAGTCATGTTTTCATACCATATTCTTTTCCAGTCCTATCTCCTGGTCTCTGACAGCTCCAGAGATGCAGCGTGTGTACTAGTATCAAAGTAAGTGCTCAACTCCCTCCTATTAATGATAACCTTGTATTTAGATTTTGTGGTTTTATTCAAATTTGTATTACCTTTGAACAAATTGAATAATAATGCTCCTTACAAAAGAAAAGTTCAAGTCTTTCAATTCAGCAGTTTTTTGTTGTTTTTAAAGTCACATTTATTTTCAATAGCTTCCATGTCATGTGGCCCAATGACTCCTCAATGCAGCATTGTGTTATTACCACACAAGAGTGGGACACACCTATTTGATATGATTTTAGACCACCTTCTTTTTACACATATTTCTTTGTAAAAAAATCTGCAGTTTGTCATGAAAACTGTTGGATTTATAAAAAAAAAATAACTTCAATATGATGTAATTTTTCCACGGGGCAAAGATGGTCAATATTATTAAACGGGTGAATGCTTTCAGCAGTCCTCACTACATACAAAAGCTAGTATACTGCACAGGCCAATATTTAGTTAAAAATGATATATTATGCCACTGTTTAGGTCATTTTGAATGTTGGGTTTATAATAGAATATGTCTACATGCTGCAATGTTCAAAAAAGCCTTAATTATTCTAATACTATCTGCCTGAATATAGTTGTCTCTGTAAGGCCCTCTCAATGAAACAAATGTCAACAAACCAGTGTTATCAAGTATGGAGAAAGAAACTGATCACATAGAACTTTGGGTGTATCTCACAACAAAGTCCTTGTAAACTCATAATCAGGTACAAATAGCAAATAAGTGTCACAGGATAGACTTCGGACTGCAAGAGAACTGCATCAGTGTCACTAATGTCTCAGTCATTGTGTCTGTGAATCCAGACGGCTGTAAACTTACAGCCGTCTGGATTCACAGACACAATGAATCCAGACGGCGTTAGTCAGAGTGTTGTAACTAACTAACACTCCTGCTGGCAGCTCTTACACTTATTACATATCATTTAGTCTTGGACAACAATGAAACTGAGCAGGTTTTCTTAGACCTGCTGTGTGATGAGTCTTCAACTCAGATAAATGGATGTAGCCATCCACCTCCATGTTTTTTCTTCCACCTTCCTGTTTACAATTGCCATGTACATAAACCAAAAGCTTTAAAAAAACAAACAACAAAAAAACATCAACATTCCTGTTGTTTTTTAAATAGAAAATCTTGTTGCATACATGGTGAACATACACAATGTCTACTGTGTGTCTATTAGGAAAGCCTGTGTCAAGCATGACCAAAAACTGGTGGTGTTATTAAAAAGATATGGCAACTTGCAGTAAAGACAAGGTACAATATAGTTATTAGGTCATTAACTGTAATTAGTTTTCCAGTCAATAGAGGGCATTGTTGTTCTTTCCTTGTCTTCACTGGTGTCTGCATTTGTTTACCCACAAGAGACCTTTGTTTGTCTTATGTACGTGACTGTACAGGTTCATGACACGCCCTGATGTCAAAATGAAGCGCCTTGGAGACTTTTTGGACTATAGCTTGACCACCATAACCCAAACGAATGACCTGTCACCGTTAGACATTGGGATGCTGGATGGTGCCCTGCAGTCTCTGGTAAACACACACACTCCCCTATCCCACTCAAACCTGCATGTATTCATGACTGCCTGTGTGTGTATTAAAAGCCAGTGTAATCTGTGTTCACCACTGTATTAAAGCCTGCAGGTGATAGTTTACAAGAGCTGACATGACTGGTATGCCTCACACAATGTGGTTTTGGCAGGTGTGTAATGCACCTGCTGCGTGTGTGCGATCTGCTGTTTCAAGTCACCTGCGTCAGTTGTATCCGCTGCTTTAAGCTAAACGGTTCTTTATCAAATGACAACAACATTGAGGGGAAAGTTTAAATGAACCCCTTTTCCACTGGAAGACTCTTAGATACACCTGTTCTCACTATAACTCTATCAGTCACTTCCTAAGGTAAAGTTATGCAGCCCGCAAGCAAGAATATTACATTCATATCCTTGGCACATAAACTTGCATGACATGTTTTAGAAAGAGTGTGTTTGTAGTTACTGTGTGAACCTGCTCCCTGCCTATGTGGTGCTTAGGGCGTTTAAAACTGGCTGGTGTGTTCAGTCAACAAGCTTCGGGACCCTTGCTTGTTTGTTTGTGTTTGTAGATTCAGCGTAAAGTGCGGCAAAGAATCAAGACATTCCAAAAAAGAATAATAACTTGCACGCATTGGTTTTTGAGATAATAATAATGTGTGTTTTGTCAGTGCAACAATCATTGCGTGATGCTGCAAGTGTTAGTGCAATCATGGTTCCCTTTCAGTATCTGGAATTGATTTGGTCACTTTTTTAATGTCCACCTAGGGGAAGCTTTTCAAACATGGAAAAAGAGATGACCTCCTGCAGTATGGTAGGTTTCCTTTCCCCTGTTAATACATTCAGCAAGTAATGAATTCTGAACTGAGTTATTGAAGCATTGTTGCATTTGTAGCTTGTGGTAACATCATTATTTGTTGTTACAGATCATTATCTAAATGTCCTTTGCCAAAGGGGAGATATTTGAATGCAGGATAAGTTCATTTTAGTATGAAAACAGAGCATTTCCATACATATATAAGCTTTCCAATGCACATTTCTAACTCTCTTAGGTAGAGACTGTTCAGTCGTAGCTGACATGCGAACCTGGTCAAAAGCAGTTGGGTTGTTAAGTTACCTGGAAATAGGTGGTAACATTCAAAATGTTGTCAAAATCACAAGATAGCCTCCTACAATTTATGTAATCGCAGAAGTCACTATACTTGTTAAAGGGAACTGTGTGTCTTAAGAAAACACTCTTTGTTTGGTACAAATCCTCTCAGAAATCATAATAATGTCAAAATGATTTGCAAATCTTTTCCCAAATGCAACTTCAAGCTTTAAGTGTGCAATTTGATGTCTTTACACATTCTTCTGACCTACCTGTGATATAAAAACACTGTTAATATTAATAATTCAGAGTTGTCAGCATAATGAGATGAGTCACATTTATCTGTTTATGCCTCTAGCGGGCTACCTTTTTAAAAATATCAAATGTATGTACATATATATAATGTATTCCTTAGTATATTAATCAATGTATTTCTTATAAAAGTGTTGACACTTTTGATGTCTTTATTGGTTTTAGCTCCTACGATAATGCAGTGTCTGGAGAAGAAACATCTTTCGGAGAGCAGCCAGGCCAAGCTGCGGAAGCAGGGCGTCAAACTCACCCAGAGGCTCGGCCTCACCTTCCTGAAGCCACGTCTGGCTGCTTGGAGGTCAGTCAGAAGAACAGCTAATTATATCCAACATTTTGAAAACTATGCTTCCTACTAAAAATAAGCTGTCACAATCTTTATCTGTCCAACACATCGATACAGAATTCCAATATGTATGCGTACAGAACATCTTGTTAAACCTTAAGCATGCGTAACAGCAATTGAAATAATATTGTTAATAACAAAACAATCCAATTATGGGTCTTTTGTAGCACCAAGTTAAGTACCTTTTAAAAAAGCTTTATATCCATGTTTTCTTCAGGTACCAGAGAGGCAACCGCTCCCTCGCAGCAAACCTGTCCGCCTCCCAATCTGCCACTGCTGCCACTCCTGAAGTGGAGATACAAGAACTGGAGGAAGACTATGATATTCCTGAGGAAGTGGAGACGGTTATTGGTCAGTTTCAGGCTCCAAAGTGTTTTATTGCACTACCTCTGCACAGGAAATCCAATCTGAATCATAATTCTCTTTACAGAGTATCTGCTGGTGGGACTGAAAGATAAGGAAACAATTGTGCGCTGGTCGGCAGCAAAGGGGTAACAATCTGTTCCAATGTCACCAGGCCTCATCTTTGAATGAAAAGTTGTCCTTGTTGCTTTTAGTTTGAGTTTTTCTTTGTATTCAAAAACATCTCCGGGCGAAAGAGTTTCAGCTTTGCAATAATTATCCTTTTTATTCACTCCTTCAGAATTGGGAGGGTGACTGGGAGGCTTCCCAAGGAGCTGGCAGATGAGGTGGTTGGATCAGTGCTGGACTGCTTCAGGTAGGCTCCTGCTGGGGGCACATTGGCTCTCCATCAGTCACACTATGCCATCCATCATTTCTTTAAATGTTTATTTTTTCCTCAAAGCACCTGTCACATAGGGACACATGTTCATGCTCCTTGAACTAATACATGTTATACTTTGAGTTTGTAATGTTGTGTTGTGTGTTTCCAGTTTCCAGGAAACGGACAATGCTTGGCATGGAGGCTGCCTGGCACTGGCAGAGCTCGGCAGGAGAGGCCTGCTGCTGCCTTCCAGGCTTACTGATGGTATGTGACAACATCTATCACTGACAATGTTATCCTAAGATACTCTTACAGGACTGTTGTGCGCTGGTAGTGCTGCACGGAAAAGTTGGAAGCTTCAGAGTAGTATAACATCGACCTTCAGAATCTTTAACATCTGAATGATTACTATAAAATATCTTTTTATTCTGTTTGAAACTTAAAATGAACTTACAATATTGCTGCCGAATTTCAGATAGAAAGTAGGCTACATTAAATTATTATTAGTGTTATACTTTTAGGCGAAAGATTTCAGTGGTGGCTGCATAGTAGTGATTCGAGTTTAGGTAAGCTTACTAGAAAAAACACTCACACGCAACAGAGCTCAGTCCACCACATAGTTATGTTGATGAAACTGCAGGTCTCCCTTGAAAAAGAGATCATTGATCTCAATGGGATTTTACCTGGATAAATAAAGGTTTTGAATTGAATTGAAACTACCAAGTTAAATATATTGTTTTCATAAAGAAATGTTTTTACTCTTGTTATTCGATTAAGCACTTTATTCAAATGAAGGATTTTCTTGCAGTCTGTTTTCATTTAATGACGACACCATCAAATATGACTTCTTTATTTATTCAACATATTGACATTTACAGTACATCCCCACATTTCATTGTCACATTGTCAACATAGCAAAGAATGTCCAGGTTTAAATATAAAGAGCCCTTATAAAAGTTTAGTTTTATATATATACAATATATGCAAATAATCTTTACATTTCATTTTAATGTTGAACTTGTGGCGCTGCAATATACATTTTATACATTTTCAATAATTTGATCTTTATCAGTTGATGCTTGTTGCGGCGAAAGTGACCAAATATGATAAGAGTCAGAGTTCAGCAGCAGCGAGGCCTCCTCCTGAGAGCCCGCCCTGATGCTTTTGCCCTCTTGGTGGCTTTATGGCACTTGCTCTCAGCCTGGCTGCTGTTTGCTCTTTTCTTGCTTGTTGTTTTAGCCTCAGTTATGTGTTTGATTTTCTTTGGAGAGCAAGAGCTGTCTGAGTCCTCTGAGGGCCTTTCTGCAGTGCTGAATTTGCATGAAGAGGCAACAGAGCTAGCAATGGCTAGTTGACACAGTGCCAGTGCTGCAGTCTGCCTCTGGTCACATGGTTCTTCGTCCAGCTCAGTGTCTGGCCTCTGCTGAAGATCTTCAGAAGTGCTCGGGTCAGAGATGGGAACAGGACTGCTATAAGAAGCTCGTAGGCTGAGGTTCAGAGGTAACTCTTCCCCCTTTAGTGTCTGATTGTCTGACCACCTCAATCTGTGGTCTGTAGGCTCTTTGTCCTGGTTCCTCGTTGAGAGGTTGAGGGGGGCCAGGTCTTCTCTGTTGTCCTCTTCATCTTGGTGTGGTGTAGAGGAATATCTGCTGCTCTCAGCTAATCTGAAAGAGACCAGACAAAATAAAGAATGAAAGGACTGACTACCATACATTACCACATTTAAAGAACAATAAACTGTTGCCCAATCACACAAAGAAAGACAGATGTGTACATACCCTCCATCCACATGAAGGTGTTTCAACTGCAGTACGTTTTCTGCAGACTCTTCGTGCCGTTGGTCACAGTTGAAGGGTTGCACGGCTGTAGCTGTTGGTCCTAGTCGGGTTGTTGTCTGTGAGTCTCCCTTGCTGGTGTAATGTGGGGCCTCTGCGTCTCTCTGGATGTTGTGTGCATGACAAGGCCTGTCGGGGGACCCCAAGGCTGAACAGCCCTCTTTAGGACTCAGCCTTGTTTCCTTGTCTCCCCTTTGCCCGTCGCTGCTCCCCTCTTCTGTAGATGTGTTGAGGATGTTGGTACTGGGCTGTGAATGCATGTATAAATCATAATCCTTAGGCCCTGGGGCCGGGCCATACAGATCCAAAGGAAGATATCTTGATTCCCTTATCTGCATGGAGAGCTCATGGGGTCTGTACAGAGTATAATGCAGAGGGGGGCCCGGGTGAATAGGGAGGCAGTATCTGTTTAGGTACGAGGGAAAGAGAGAAGTGTAATACGGGGCAATAGGTTGTGGAACCACAGGCCTTTGGGGATTGATCAACTCTGGCCGGAAAGAAGAAGAATTTGGCTCACTCGCAGGGTGGTTAGCTGGGAGGTAGTATGGAGGATACAGGGGTCGGTCATGAAGGAGATAAGGAGAGTATTCAGGAACCATGGGAGGGGGGAATGGTTTTAGGGGAATGGAGGATGAAAGCGTACCCCATGGGAAGCCTGGGTGGCTGAAAGTGGGAGCAGCAGCTTGTGAATCCTCTGACTGTGGCACAGACGACTCGAAGGCTTCTGCTCCGTCACTTTTGGGTGTGACGAGGGAGAAGGCAGAAGGGCGTGGCAGAGACATGCCCTCAGTGCTCTCCTTGTTCCCTCCGTCTATTTCTGTATTTGATGTTGTCCCACTCTGGTTTTCCTTATTGACCGCACTGTCACACCCAACCTCTACTTCTTCTATGTCTGTGTTCTCAGCCTTTTTCTCATGTTCCTGTTTCTCAGGACTATTGTTCTCAGCTGCTGGCACGGGGCTTGGGCAGTCCTTAGATTTGGCCGGGACTCCCTTTACTACAGCCTTGACCTGTCGGGCTGTCTGTCCATTTTTCTGCGACATCAGGGAGATGGAGTTTTTACACAAGTTGTATTTCATGTGGTTGAAGAGATGGGACTTTTCGTTGCAGGTGAAAGGACACTGGAAACACTGGTACTTGTAAGGCTTGCCTGGTGGTCGGGGAATGTAGTGGGGCCTCTTTGGCTTCCGTTCCTGAGCAGTCTCCATCTTTATTCTAATGGCTGTTATCTGATAGGAAAATAAACGCATTACAGTGAAGGAATTAGTAGAAGTTCAGGTTTTTAAAGGTTCCTCTAGTCACATAAGCTGCTAGGGAGTCTGAAAAGAATCTCATGAATCATTGCAGCTTTTGTAGCAGATTCTCACTGAGCTGACTGCCATCCGGCTGTTGGAGTCGTTTGACTGGTTCAGGTGGGGAGTTTCTCTCTTTGGAACGTTTTTCTCTGTTTCCTTAACTGCTTGCGCCAACACAAATCTCTAGCTGCACAAAACACTGCACCCTCAGGCTAATGTATTTCTACAACTGTTACTTCACAGTGGACTGGACCCCAAAGATAAATAATTAAATATGAAAACTCGTCCACTGTGTGCAAAAGTGTACCGACCTTTTTTGCCGGGTTGCACTCCTGTCTCAGTATGGTTTTGGTTCATTGACGGCGGCTTACTGACACCTCTACAGTACCTGCCTGTTCACCTGACTATTTGTTTTGATATCACTCATTTTGTCCTGTATTGTTAGAGCTGCTAAAACACCAGGCAGGCAGGTGTTGGGCAGACGTGGTGCTTACTAACGCAGACCTTAAGGGCATGCCAAGACTTGATTTCTCTATCAACCCAACTAAACTCTTTGCTGTCGGCGTGGGAACCACAAGCCACCTGCTTCCCATGACTACACCTGCGGGATGCACTCGATTCCCAAATCATCCTTTCATGAGCTCACTAGCGCTGTAGATGCATGAGAATGAGCTGTTCTTTAATAATTGTAAGTGTAAAGCAGTAATTGTAGCAAGCCTTTTCAAGGAAATAACAGTGAAGTAACACTGCAGGCTCGCCTTCAATGAAACATTACCTAAAGCTGTGAGTTAAGTGTTGCTGGGTGCTGCATCGATGAACCTGCTTGTCATGCGCTGTTGCAAGAAGTTGTCACTCAAGTTTCTGTCCAACTGTTGTAGCATGCAAAGCCACTCCTTTCTTAAGAACTAAATTCATTTGAAAATCAATTTTTAACGGCGTATGATTCTCACCTTGAAAATATTAAGCCAGGAACCTTTTATTATTCTGTCATAAACATATTTTATTGGTTGTTCTGAGCTCAGTCTGTTTTAATTTGAAAAATTAGGTAATCCAACTAATTCATCTTACAAAGTATATTTAACTTATTCAGAGGTCTGCAGAGGCTAGATACTTTAAGCATTTCCTGTGTATTAGTCATTACAGTTCAAGTTAGAGCTCATTTAAATCAATAGGTAACAGGTGCATACGTAGCTTATAGCTTCCCTTAATATTACAAACTACATACTAGTCAATAGTACTTTTTTAAATAGACATGACCTATAACACAGAACGAAAAAGGCTTTGGCGACTGCTACGAATGTAACTCAATGCAGCTTCCTTTTTAATTAAGGGAGAATTTAAATAAACTCAAATTACCTGCTCTGGTTGTAGCAACAGTGTCGTCTCCTGAGTGTTCAGCCTGCAGAGAGCCGCTCCACCGTCCGCAGCCAGCGTTAGTCAGGATGTCTCTCCTATACGTGCTAAAAGTTCAGAGTATGTGTGTGATGAAGCATGTGTGTGCTGTTCTTGTTAATGTTAGTTGTGTGGTGAGTTTCTCTCTCTAAGATGTTGTCTCACCAGTGGGTGGGGCTTCAGCTCCAACAGCAGGGCCCTCAGGCAACACCGATGTACCTGATATTAGTCCAGCCTCGAGCGATGATTTACATGGTGGGGTGGGGTGGGGGCTCTCACTCCTTCGACCTCTTAAGTGCCTTATCTATGTATTTTGTGGAAATGACCACACAGGCATCTTTTCTGTCAATAACGTGTTATGCTCGACACATGTAGATAACCTTTAGCTAAACTTGGAAATTAGAGCAGTGTTCAAAGAAGTGTTACACATCTAAAACCACTTATTATATATACTACTGATTATAATTGACACCTGTTATTTCAGACTTTCACTCCATTATTTGCTCAAGGTAAAATGTGTTCATGTGGAAATGGAACAAACATAAAACCAGTTGAACACAAACCCTACATGGGTTGAGATGTATCGGGCTGAACACTAATAGGAACCGGGTGCCATGCTTCACAATTGAAATAGTAACACCAATGGCTAAAAAGCTGGCCAAGTTTTTATAACCTGTCCGCCAGAATTGAATCTCTGTGATTGGAGGATTGGACTGCCTGCCGCTCCAATCAGGCTCCCTCAGAAGCTAACCAGGAAGTGGGATGGGTATGGGGATGGGGATTGGCTTCAAGTGGCCCATCTCATTTCAGGAACCACACTTCCTACTTAGCATAAATCACACCAAATAGGTTATAAATATGCAAAGTGCCAGTACTGGCTGTACCATCAGGAGAAAAAAAAGACTTCATCTTTAGTAAATAAATTGAGCACACACAATCTATAATGCAGCTAGTTGTTACTGGTTTCAGTCCAATGATTTGGATGAATCAATGATGTTTAAATTGTGACATGAACTCACCACAAAGATTGCAAACGGTATATGTAATAGGGTCATGACCAAAAGAACGAGATCGCGGATACAAGCGGCCGAGATGGGTTTTCTCCGCAGGGTGGCTGGTGTCTCCCTTAGGGATAAAGTGAGAAGTTCGGTCATCAGGGAGGGACTCGGAGTTGAACCGCTCCTCCTTCGCGTCGAAAGGAGCCAGTTGAGGTGGTTCGGGCACCTAGTTAGGATGCCACCTGGGCGCCTCCCTAGGGAGGTGTTCCAGGCACGTCCAGCTGGGAAGAGACCAAGGGGTAGACCTAGGACCAGGTGGAGGGATTATATCTCTTCGCTGGCCTGAAAGCGCCTTGGGATCCCCCAGTCAGAGCTGGTTGATGTGTGGCCAGGGAAAGGAAAGTTTGGGGCTCTCTGCTGGAACCCCCGCGACCCGACCACGGATAAGAAGATGGATGGATATGTAATAGGTTTTTGACATTTGTATTTTTTATTCTTAAAATCAAACCACATTTCTGGTTCTGTTGTCTACTTGCAGTTGTGCCACTCATTGTCAAATCCTTGACCTACGAGGAAAAGCGAGGAGCGTGCAGCGTGGGTTCCAATGTGCGAGACGCTGCCTGCTACGTGTGCTGGTCCTTCGCCCGGGCTTATGAACCCAAGGAGCTCGAGCCTTATGTGACTCAGATTTCCAGGTAACCTCCCTCCTTGCTATGAAAACTTCACAGGTATAAAACCACACCAATGACATATTTATATCCGTCAAGTTCACCCTTTTCTTGACATGAAGGTGAAACGTGTGATGAAAAAGTGGCTGAAATGAATATTAATACTGATTTCATTAATTGCTGCTGCTGTTAGTTTATAGTGCAAACACATTTCCTCCTTATGTATGTTTTATCACTTATATTCTTAGAGCATTATTCACATTAGCATAACATCACAGGTACATGTTAATTATCCCATAACTGGGAGTTGCAGCCCACAAAGAGCTTTTTACATTAAGCCTACTATCAGGGGAAACACATCAACATGTACATACTGTGAATGTGTTCCTAATCTGTATTAAAAACCGCTAAAATCGAGAAACGTTTTGTAGGTCAGTGAGATTTCAATAGGTTGCACTTGATTTTAAATGAACTTGTAATTTTGAATTGCCAAGAAGCTGCATGGTTTGCCTCTGAGCAGTTAATTACTGCTTCATTAAACCAGTTTTCAGTGGCACAGCAATCATACATGTCCCCACACAACCAGCAGATATATGGGTGTGCTACTTTCGGGCCTACATATTGAATTAGGCTTCAGTAGGTTATATTTTCACAAGGAAGTGAAGTGGTTAACACAATTGTCAGAAGGTAATTAATAGAAAAGGCTTTCTTCTATGACAATCATTTTGAGATGCTTACATTTCCTTGTTTACATTTTCTCTTTCTACAAAACTGTTACTGCTGCCAAACCCTACCGTTGCCTGTCTGGCACTGTAATAATATACCAAATGATTTCATAGAGCCCCAATACTGGACTAAATCCAAGGTCTCCATGTTGTGAAAGTAAGATGTGAACTAAGTCAGGGGTGAAGACAATATTATTTAAGTTTAGAAGAGTGTTTTTTAGTCTACAGTAAGTGTGGTGACTGCATGATTACATTGTTTTAAAAATGTGTTCCACAAAAACAGTTGCATAAAATGGGAAGTGAGCTTTGGAGTCAACAGTACAGTATTTCCCTATTTGCACATTCAGCCACTTATTCATGATATTAGATTGCTGCAAGACTATTGCGTAAAAGTGACCAGGTTGCTTTTTTCAGACATGAGACAGACAGGTTCAATTGCCAGTCTTGTCTGAGATCTGACTCAGTTATTTTAGTTTTTTATTAGGGTCAAAAAACATATTTAAACATATATTTTGGTCTATGCTATAATGCAAAAATATCTAACAACTTATTTTCCCAGAATTTGCGCATAAGAAATGCTGACTAACGTAATAATTACTAAATTGTAAAAGAGTGTATAGAAACTATGGTGCAACATCATCCAGTGACGTACGCTCAGTCTTAGTCAACAGTAACGGTTTGCGTCCTCCTTGATCTCTCTTCTCTCGGTTTGCATGTATGAACCTGCGGCCTCTGACTGTGCAGACCAGCTCTGCAGTGTCAGTTTGAACCCCTGCGACTACCAATATCATCAGCAGTCGTGACAACACCCTCCCTTTCCTTAGCCTACAGGATTGCCAGGTTTCGCCTGCTGCTGTAGGTTTCGGTCGCCGTTTGGCAGCAGAGCTCAGACAAGCTGGTTCCTGCTCTGTTCATCACAGCTTGATGACATTATCAGAAAACACACTTTTTAGATTGTGTGACTTTGGGGCACACACACAAACCTTTGTATTTCTGTTTCACAGTTAAAATCAACTGTATATCTTAATTGTAGTAGCCATACTTATAATTCATCATATCCCTTCCTGTATTATCAAGAGAGCGCTGTTTTTGTTTCGAAGCCCTCAGGGCTGGGGCAATCAGGGAAGCCATAGCAGGGCAGTTAGTAACGCTCCAGGCCTGACTGTTGCTGTGTGAGGGAAGGAACCTGGGAAGAGAGCAAACCGGGCCAACAGCGTCTGAGGCTGTCACTGTATGATGTATCAGTTGGCAAAGCCCCCCTCTAACAACTGATATTCACACACACCCCTGAGACTTGTAGAGGCAGTGTTATTGAGGTAACAATCATAATCAGGCATAACTTCCAGCATTGCAAGAAAGTCATTGTTATTCATGTTTTGGCTGAATCTACATACTGTTCCAGGAACCTGTGCACCTCATTTAAAATCAGTGTTCTGGTGTTGATGTGATCTAGATTTAGAACTGACTTTAATCTGAGTCAAATACTCTATTGAGATGTTGAGGTGCTAATAAAACAAAGGTATACAAGGTTAGGATCTCAGTCAAATAAATGTTTCAAAGACGAAGACAATGGGCTTCATTTACCCATGTCTTCCAAATGTAATTATTTTCTTAAATTGTTCTTGAGAGACATCCTAACTATAAAAGGGCATGCGACGGCCGGGCCGTGTGCACACCAGAAATGATGAAGAAAAGTTAAGATAAGGATGCCCAGACTTTTGAGAGTGTGTAGTTCCTAAGTGGAGGGGCTCGCTCTCCGAGGTATGGTTTTAAAAGACCGTAATGCTTTTTAGGAAAACTATAATGAATTATTACAAATTATAAAATAATATAAATATTTAAATCCTTTATTACATCAATGTAAAAAAGCAATAAACTATTATTTTTGCACAAACATGTCGGCACTGAAATGTCCATAGGTGTGCTCGAGTGTGCACAAGTTCCGTAAAAAGACTTTGGTAAATGTCAGAATGTGAGTGAAACATTACTATGTAGGTTTAAAAAACCTTTGTTGGGTAAATGTGTTTTTAAAGCTGCAAAATGTGATACACCTTCTTCCCTTCATCTTTTCTCCTACAACCAAGATAATTATTTTGACTGAAACTATAATAACAGAATGAGAAAATGAAATATTGAAACCTTTAAATATCAGAAAACTAGTTTTAAACTTTCACTTACAAAGCTAGTGGAAGCACTGATACTTGCTTTTTTCAAATTGTAAAGTATCATGTCTAAACCATAACCCGTTTTTGTATTGTGTAATCCTCTCTTTATTGCATTCAGTGAGAAATGTTATGTTTGCTCAGTGAATGTCTCCTTTCCAACCCACTCTCTGTTTCTCTCTGCAGCGCTCTGCTGATCACTGCTGTGTTCGACCGGAATGTCAACTGCCGCAGAGCTGCCTCTGTAAGTCCTCCGGTCAACACCATACAAATACTGAAGACTTTCAGGACAACACCCTCCAAATATTTTTTCTGAAGTTTTTCCATAACATGACAGAAGTTAATTTGTCTCATTTTGTCCCAGGCTGCCTTCCAGGAGAATGTCGGCAGACAGGTTTGTCACCGCAGCCTTGACTACTTGTGTATGATGAGTAACAAAATGATTGTGATTTGTCGTATATTTGCTGCCAATCATCTGTTTTCTTGCTCAATGCTTATTAAAACAAAGAAATTGCCTCCAAGTGCAGCTCCAGGGCACCAGCAAACAAGTGGTTTGCCAACAGCCATTGAGCCATCATCACACTAAATCAGAATTGTATCCATCTCATATTTATCTGCTCAGTAATGGTAAGTCTTACACAATGCACAACGCCGTGTGTTGCTTGCTTTTGTATCAACAGGGGACGTTTCCTCATGGTATTGACATCTTGACTGCAGCAGACTACTTTGCTGTTGGGAGTATCAGCAACTGCTATCTAAACATCACGTAAGAAAAACTGCTCTTTTACACAGTAGCAGATCTTTAGGCCTTGCCCTTTCCAGCCGCATTGCTCTTAGCCACACAATACTCAAGTGAAGCTGCACTTGGCAAATGCTTGGAACGACAGGTAATGTCCCATCCTGAGTTCTAGGTAGTCAAGTACCCAGAAGTATGCAGCTTTGAACTGATTCAACTTGTGGTTCTTAAATAAGACTCTTAAAATCTGGTATTGATTTGAAATCTCTCCCAGAATATAGCCGTTATGTTGCTGCTATATATTTGTAGTTTACCGCTTGAGAAGGACATGTGTTCCAATTCAATTAATGAACGTTTTTAACCTTTTAGTAAACCCATCAGCCATGTAAGAAAATAAATGTGTGCGTCTCAACAAACACAGACATACATTTTAGGAATGTGTCACCACCAGCTGAGCAAACATTCAAGATGCTAGCCTCAGGATATGACTGACTATAGAACTGAACAAAACAAGGACAACAGAATAAAGATGTATGGAAAAAAGTAGAACTCGCTGAAATGGATCCCCACACACACACTTGAGAGAAAGTCTGAAACTGGTATTCATTTTCTGTTCATACAAGCAGCTAAAGCTTTCTTTTTTGTGCTCCAAGTGTCTTCATAGCCAGTTTCCCGGAGTACACAGAGGCCATGATAGATCATTTGATAGCCATGAAGATCAACCACTGGGATAGGTAAGAACAGGTCCCAGTCTTCATACATGACAAATAAGAGGGAGGGTATATGTATACTAACTTTTTAAACACAAAACTATATTTTTGACTTGTTTTCTAGTGTGATCCGAGAGCTCGCCACTAAAGCGCTCCACAACCTGACGCCTCAGGCCGCCGATTATATGGCAACAACAGGTAAACAATGTCACCTGACCTGTTTCATATGCAAGAGAGAAAGAAAATGGCTTATGTGAATGCCTTTAGGGAATATCCAGAAACCTATAATTCTTGATCATGAGTAGATTTATGCACTTTCTTCTTTGTTGGTTACAGTTTTGCCGAAGCTGTTGCCCATGGCAGTGGGGATTGACCTTCATGGTCGCCATGGAGCCATCCTGGCCTGTGCAGAGATTACACACGCTCTCTACAAACTGGGCCTTCAGACCAACAGGTAGACTTTCATACCCAGTCAATGAAACTTTGAATTGATTTGTTCTAAACCTTAACCTTAACAATGGTGATATGCTCAGAGGAAGAGCTTCTCTTTAGCAATTTGTGTGATGTAAAATTGAAAGAAGTAAAAGTAATAATACCGTTAAACCTTTCTGCAACTGCATGCACACACAAAAAGTTGCGTATAATTTAAATGTTGACTTAGAAATGATCATGCAGTTACTATAGGAAACAAATGAAAAGGTGCATTCTTAGGTCATTTATAATTCTGTTTTCTAAATTGTCGTTTTGTCCGTGAATGAATCTCATATGCTTTCCTCCTGCGTTTGTCCTACAGGGATGTGGTGGACATGATTTCTTCAGAATGTGTTGACGCTTTAAAAAACATCCACCAGAAGGTAAGTGAGCACAACATGTGTAGTCGATTAACTGTAATCCAAATGTTCTCTTTAGCTGATGTTGATTTGTTGATTTACTTTCAGCTGAATGACAGAAAGCAGTACAGGTAGGTGGAGAGGTAGTGTTTTGGTTTTTCACAAGTAGTACGGTAATAAATCAAAGTACTCTTGACTTTTTATCATTATTATGTTTTCTTTTTGTAGGGGTTTTGGTGGAGAGCTAATGAGGCCAGCAGGTAAGTCTAAGAGCAGATCAAAAAGCAATGCAATTCATTATATTCACGAGTGGTTGTTATTCATGAGTTTACGGTAGAAGACATTCTGTAAAAGCAAATGCTATTTTCTCATTGAACAGCAGATGTGACCAGTTTGTCTTTTCCACAGTGTGCTTTCTTATTGAAAAGCTGTCCCTCTCCAAAATGCCTTTTAAGAACGACCCTGTGATCAGTAAGTTCATTCTTGATATTGTGCTTTGAAACGTCTGTTTCATTCAGCTTCTTAACTTTACGTCTCTAATGTTGTGACGTTGTGTTTCAGCTGGCTGGCAGTGGCTGATTGACGACACCATAAAGACCCTCCATCCTGGTGTGAAGGATAGCACTGTGGTAAGATTTATAAAATGGGTGTCACATCATGGGTCACGGAGTCTGCCAAATTTCCTTTTCACCTGCAAATTAAACACTAGTTAAACGAATGCAGGGTTCCTTGGTATCGGCCTTGTCCGCCCTGTGTGATGAGTTCTACCAGGCCGAGCCGGGCCAAGCGGACTTACAAATTCAGGGTGAGTTTAAATTCATATGTAGTTCAGCTAATTATTCTGTAGATCTGAATACGAAGGTAACCTCTGCATGGCGTTGTGTGTAGATGTCCTGGTGTCTCAGTACATCGAGGGGCTGAAGAGTCCGCAGATGCTCATTTGCTGCGGATCGGCCCTCGCCCTCGGCTGTCTGCCAAGATTTATGATCCATGGCAAAGTGAAGCAGGTGTGTGTGGAGGATGTGTACAATTTCTAGACAATTTACATCTCACTGCATCGGTGTTTAAAAACCAGAGTGTACCATGTGTCCGTTAGATCCTTGAAGGCCTGCTGCAGATGTGCACAGTCAGCCAGAATGAGGAGAAATATACAGAGGCACGGAGAGATGCAGTCAAAGCAATATCTCAGTGAGTATCTATATATGTTTTAAATGTTTAGATATTTTCTAGACATCCTACCCAAACCTGCTCAAACTGTGGGTGGGTGGATCGCACATCACTACTTTGCAGCCACAACAGGGATATATCCTGTATCCTTTATCTGCAACTGTGCAGACATACTGGGTGTAAAGAGAATGATTAAAGGAAAAGCATTGTAATGTTTGCTTTGAGCTTTAAAGCTTCACGCTATAAGGAACTACTTCCTTCTATTGTCTTTTTCTTATATATTCTTATTTGATTAAGTTGTTACGCAACCGTTCATGCCTGATGTGTGAAGGCCTCCTCTGTTAGCTTATCTGCGGAGTTGTGTAGGCAGTAATGCTAAAATAAACATTCCTGACTTTACCTGCACGACCTGAAGGACGTGTCCGATCAGTGGTCTTTTCCCTCAAAATAAGTTCTTATTATCTCAGGTCATCAGTTACTATAGCTCCTCTTGTAGTCATTATGAACATGTATTTATTTTCCAACCTCCATCAGAGTGTGTCTGAAGGTGGGTGTTTGTGCCCACGGCTCCCCTGACTCTGCCCTGTGCTCGGAGAATGTTGCAGAGGTGTATGGCGTTCTGCTCCACTGCATGACTGACTACACGAGAGACAGCAGAGGGGACGTAGGTGCTTGGTAAGTTCACTTCACCGCACATAATAAACAAGCTCAAAAATACACCCGCAGCCTTTCAATTCGCCTCGAGGATTACAAATGCTCCCCCACCTGAGGCCTTTGGTGTCTTTCTGTCCCTTAACCTAGGGACACAAAGACATGACATGCGTGCCTGTGTCACTAGTATCCCAGGTCATGCTTATCGTCTCGCCAGGAATGTCACCAAGCTTGTCACATGTCTTCACAATTCGACTCTTTGTTTTCAGTTTTGTACCAGACTCTTTGTCTTTTTGTTGTCAAGCTCACACCAGGACACGTGTCTCTCCTCTGTGCACCTGTTTTTAGGTTGTGACTCTTGAATATGTGCATTACTATTTCACTTAAACAAATTGTGCCCTGCAGCCATGAAGCTCATTTGACCACTGCCAGATCCAGGGACACTGAGATACAATCTTCAGAGGATGGCAAGCTCTAGCCTGTGCTTAATTTGTACTAGTGAAACTTTGCATCTACCCCAAAAACATTATTCATTGCATAAATGCACATCATGTGAACAACATCTTGTTATTTTATTCTTTTTTAATACTGTTCATGCTCAACTCTCTGACTGCTTTTTACACTAAGTGTTTTAGTTGTTTAGCTTTTACAGTTATTTGTATAGTTACATTTAAATAAGTTGTAAATACTTGTCTTTAGCATCCTTTTCTAATGCTAAATTGTTTCTTAAAAATACGTATGTTTTACTCAATACTTAATTGTTTATGTTCGCACCACCAGATACCAAAGCAAATTCACACAAACAGTACAGCTATAGACTACAATCTAAAAATGACATCACTCTGTCCGTCCCCTCTGTACGCACGGTGCTTGGGAAAAAAGCCATATCATACTCTGCCCCCTCGACCTGGAACACACTTCAGCAGGAACTTAAGCTGACCACTTTGATACCCATCACAGAGTTTAAACTCATTTTAAAAAAGCTGGAGAAATCATCTGTGGGTGTTTGCACCTGCTATATCTCACTGTATATGGATTTCAATGACTACTTTTTTTACGATGTTGTATTTGAGTGTTGCCTCTGTGTTTAGTGTCCTGTCTGTAACTTTGTGTGGTAGTGTTACCACTGAACAGGTCTCAATGAGATTGTACACCTGTATAACTAAAGGCTAAATAACATTTATTTTATGAATTCCTTGTATGTGTATTCGACCTGCTAATAAGCTTGATTCTGATCCTGATTAATTTGATATGTTTTCTTCAAAGGATTCTTTTGAAGGAGCTTCAGGAGGTTGTTAATGACCCGGGTTAATGTATGCAAGGTAAACCCAAGTCTTGACCCTCTGTGATGTTCCCAGGGTGAGAGAGGCAGCGATGACGAGTATCATGGATGTGACCTTGCTGGTGGCCGTCAGCGCTCCAGAGATCCTCCTCCCAGACCTGTGAGTAGCAAACAGAAAACTCTGATTAACACTAAATCCTGCATCTTTCTTTTTTACTTTGCCATACCTCTAGATTCTAGAGGAATTTCACACTGTGTTTCACAACAAAGTAAACAGTTGTAAACCCTAACCTATCCATTGGTCTGAGTAATCTTTAGTGTTGGATATCTCAAGGTGTGGCCGCAATACTTACAGCCTAAGTCAATTCAGCTTGGATCAAGTTATTATAATAGAGGAACAGTATCAAATGTAATCATTGCGTCACATTTTCTTTAACACTAGCTAGAATTAACACCCAATGACGCCTTTTGGCTTATTCAAACTACTAGAGTGATTTACTTATGTACATTTGTTGACATATCTTAATATTTGACACCAGAACCCTAGCTAACAAGGTGCTAACTGTTCTCTGTGCAGGGTGAAGAGAATGATGTGCCGCCTGGCCCAGCAGGCGGCCGAGAAGATCGACCGCTACAGAGCCCACGCTGGAAACGTCTTCCTGTGCCTCCTCCACAGCAAAGAGCCTGCAGTGCCTCACATCCCCCACCAGGAGGAGCTGCTGCGCATCTTTCCTTTGTGAGTCCTCCCCACCCTGCATTAATAGCTCCAACAGCTGGAGTGAAGCAAACTTATATGCTGGACTGTTTGATGTGGCACCTTTGTCTGAACAACTTGTGATATTTTGTCTTTCAGTGAGACTACAACCAGTCTGAACTGGAGTGCTCCATCCCAGGCCTTCCAGTATATCACCCAGCTGCTGCGACTGCCCCAGTATCAGTACCACACCCTGCTGGGCCTCACCGTGTCAGTGGGAGGAATCACCGAGTCCACAGTAGGTCATCTCACAAATCAGATGTGCAGATAGGTGAAACATTTTAAAGAACATAAATCCAAAAGCAGGCGCAAGGGTTACTGAATACTACAAGTATAAATCATATGCTATTGCTTCTGCGTTTATCAGATCTGATCCCAGTTGAACACCTAGGGTGATTTAGGACTCCACAGTCCTCACCGAAACACTAAATGAGGAAAAATGTGAACAATGGTTTTCCATCTTTCCAGCAGCTTTAAAATCTATGATAAGGAGCACTGAATGTATTCCGGCATGGTTGACCCACATCTTTATTAGGACAATCGATGTTTGTTACCTATTTGTATTCTAGAAAACGTCCCTCTCACTTCATACATATATTCAAATGTCATGCTATAAACAAGAAGTTCACATAATGATGACAATTGAATAAAACACAAGTGCATGGAATAAAGCTGGAAAAATAACTTAATCTGTTAATTTCACAGGATGTTGTTTCAACATTTACTGCTGGTTTGAAATTAAGAACTTCTAAAAATTCAATTAAATAGAGACACTTCACGGTGTACTTTGCTATTTAGACAGCTGGGATGTAAGTATGTACAGAATCGAAATGCGATAAGATAAGATAGTACTTTATCGATCCCAATTATGTAAATGTCATTGTAGGAATAACATATTTATCACACAATAGAGCCAGACTATTTTGGTGGTTGTAAATCCTGCAGTCAGTCATCAGTCTGCAAAGTCAGGTTGTTATTGAGGAGCAGTGTGGGCCAACAGGGGGAGCCATTAGTCCAGAGAAGTCGACTCAATCCTCGGTTGCGGTCGGATAGTCCAAAAATCAGCTCCTAACGTCTAACTCTATCGTCTATCCTTTTACCTCTGAGTGAAACGTCACGGGGTTAAGGGATAGTGGATAGGAGAATTCAAAAGGACTTAGGAGAAGAGACTGCGGTACTTTAGAGAATCCGAATGCACTATCCGACGTGTTTATGATGCGCCAGCGGACGTCATGAATGTGCGTCTGCTGCTGTGGGGAAACTGGAAACTACAGTTTTCTATACAGCGGACTACAACATGGATGTTTAATAAGAACGAGGGACTACTGTAAACTCATCTAGAGACTCTGCACCGTGCTCTGATGCTGTTGCTTTATGCTTTATGAATGTGGACAACAGAGAAACATATTCTTCATGACCAAAGTTGGAATTGAAATAAAAAAGGAAAGTGAAACTTATGCTCGTCACCCTCTCCTTCCGGTCCACATTAATACAAATGATCCCAATACGTATGATTGTATGAAAATATCTTAAAATCAATACAAATGTATTTATTATAAACGTTAGTCCTTACCATCTATCACTGTGTATATCACCATTCAAACATCTTTTAAAAGTTGAACAAACCCCACACAGCTCAGTAAAGACTGTGAGATGTTGACTTTATTTGATCATTTCAGTAAAAACTAACATTCATATTTCTCTTTTTGATTATAATACTGATGAACGTTCAAAACAAAGCACTTTGGCAACTTACCACATACGTTTTAAAATGCTTAATAAACACCGTAACTTTCATGATATCATTTTTCGGTCATAATCGGTTGTGTGACAGTAAATGCTGCGGCTGCAAGGCATTGTGGGGCAGCATTTTCTCCTCTCCTTTCGGTGAGGGAGGTCCAGTGGTTCCTAAGCTAAAGGAGGTTATAAAGGAAGTTTGAAACCTCCTTTCCTATCATCTAGAGCAGTGGTTCCCAAACTTTTTGTGCCCAAGGCACACCAAAGGACAAGTAAAAATCTCAAGGCACACCTATTGTGCAAAATAGCCCTTATAACACGTGTTATCACTCATATCATGTAAAATATCTGTAAATGTGCATAATTATTTACTAATGCCAAATAAAATGTGACAAAGACAACTATATTACTTGTGAAATATTTATTAACGAAATATTTCAGAAATTAATTTGAAACGTTATCAAATTAGGCTTCATCAAAGCAGCAACACACTCATTTAAACCAGACAGGTCACAACATTAAAAATGAGGCAAAGGAAACTCAGCAGAAATTCAGCACAGAGAACTGTCAATGCAAGGAAGCTGCATTGTCCATGGTCCTGAACTACAAATTATAAATGTATTACTTTAAAAAAAGTAATATATTACACTACTTCGTTACTATCTACATAAAGTAACTCGTTACTTTACTCGCCGAGCACGTACGAACTGCGCATGCGTGAGTGGCAATAACTTTCCTTACCAGCAGGCGGCGGTAGTGTGTATTTGTCATTCAAAACAGGCAACAACCGGAAGACAGAGAAGAAGAACAGACTGCGTGATATAAACAAACAACAAATAGCGTGTGCGTTAGCTTCACCTTAGCATGTGTTCTTTGCAGGTGTTTGTTGAGGTTTGGTGTTTACAGCAGTGGATAACAGCTTCTGGCCTGGACACAGTTTGCACCTCACCGTCACATTCCTGTCTATTCTTCGGACGAACTCAAAGTAATGGGCATACATCCACCCCTCGAAAGTTATCGCTGACTCAGCCATGTTTATGTAGCACTGCACGTGGAGATGTGGATGCGAAAATCGCGCAGATTACGTACATATAGAGCTACAAAGTACTGATATAGTCAATTAAAAAATAATTTTTTTTTGTGTAGTTGTATATTGCAATAATAACGTATGGTTGTCACAAAATCCCACGGCACACTAGTGTGCCGCGGCACACCGTTTGGGAACCACTGATCTAAAGAATTGGAACGGCTCTTATCATGGCTGCCACTGACGTACTTCCGGGTCATTTCACTCCGTTAGGAAGGTTCCTAAGCTAAATGGACTATTCAACCGCAACCCTCTTCTCTCTAATCCCTTATCTTCCTCCTACTCTGTAGAATGCCTTAGTCTCAATTATTTCACGATATCACAAATATCAGCTTTGTTACTCTGGCCTATCTCCACCCTGTCCCTGCTTGCGATGCTTTGGCAACCCCCCTAGCTTGAGGCTATGATCAGACGTATCCAGAACAAATGTATCTGACGGGTCCCTCGTGGTCCTGGCATGCGAGAAGTTTCCAACAGTTGAATCTTTGCTAAATAACAGCTAAAAAGTGTGTTTCCACTCCTGACCCCTTACCCCATCCCCCAGGAGGCTCAACACTAACAACATCAGGGTTGGTCAAGTTCTCCCTGCATTGTTACCTAACCTTGTAAAACCAATCACTCACAAGATGATTGGGTTATTTTTAACATTAGGGGCTTTTGGATGTTTTAAAAGCAAATAAGTTTAAAGCCTAAAATAGCAGCAGTGAAGTTGAGCTCCTCTGCCAGTGGAGGCTGCTGCAGACAGTATTCCCCCTCCCCCGACCTGGCTCTCGTCTCGCTTTACCTCCTCCAGCCTCTCTCTGCCCCAGATACATCCTCGGAGACGGGAAGACTGATCTGTTTGTACAGGGTTGCATGCAGGAAACTGAGCCAATACTGCATCAATACGTGAGCCAAGATTACCATTCTCACACCACAGGCATATATTCACACAGGCCAGAGAGACGGAGCGTACACTGACTTTCCAGGAACTGCCTTCAAGGCCAGCCTCAGTGTAGAGAGATCATAAGGCCGTGCCAAAGTAAAACAGCAGAACCTGTCAGAGTCACAACACTAAGAAACATCATTCCATCACAGTGTTTATGTGTCTAACATGCACAACAAAATGATTTCCCCATCTACATTCACATGGAAAATAGTGTGTGTGTTTCTATGGTTAAAGGTTATTTCAAGTATTGAGATTACATATTACCAGAGCAGCTTGATGTTATCATTTTTACAGTTATTCAGTCAGAGTACCAAGACTAAAGAACCTGTACCGACATGCTTTCATTTATTGATGTTCATATTTTAAATGCTTGAAATAAACATTAAACCGTTTAAACACACAACTTAAAACATAACATTTTCCTGTTAATGTATATGAGAAAGTTGTTTCCATGTTACTTTGTTTACCCATAGCACATTGTGTTGCTATGTTTGTTGCTATGTTGCAGATGTGGAGATTCAGCACTTTCTTTTTCCTGTTGCCTGATTATATCATTTTCACAGTTTTGTTTTTCCAAGGCCCTTCAGGTTCACACCCACTCACTCACTCACAGGCATAATGAACTTGTGCTATCACAGACTGGTTCTATGTGTCTATCAGAATGTTATACTACAACTGACTGACTTAGTATTAAATAACATGGACACACTTCGTAATCATTGCAGCGTTATTGTTGAGGAAAATTCACAAATGTCCTTAAAAACCATGGAATTAGATTACCAGACATAACTAGCACTGACCTCCAGTCCGTGTTTCAGTCCTCTGTTTCAACATCCGGCTGCTCTAATTGAACCGCTGCTTCCCTCCAGGTGCATTTTTCCTCCCAGTCGTTGTTTGAATATCTGCGAGGGATCCAGGAGAACAATGCTGCCTTGACACAGTTTGGAGACACGCTGCTGAGCATCTTCAGAGACAATCTCCGCAATGACATGTAAACAAACAAACATCCTTTTCTTCTTCACCTTGCTACAGGACTTCAGGCTACATTGAACATGTATGCGGACCGTTAGTGTTGTGGCTGCTCCAGTCAGGGGAGAAATGGCACCACAAAGATCTCTTCATAACGTGTCTATACTGTATATGTACTTTTTTATAGATCCTACGCTATACAGGAAATTACTTCATGGCTGCCAATCAGCCTATTGGAAATATAGTTTTCTATCATACAAGTAAAAAGAGCGTATTGTCCTATTTGTTATCAAACAGGCTTTTCACTTTGGGTTCTTGATCACCCTGTTGGCGTTTATATTGCCAGTACCAGCTGGCAGCTGCTGAGATGTCTGTAGATGTCAACTTTTACACAAACCTGGTAATAAAATTAAAGTTTTGCTGTGTCCAAAAACAATCCCAAAATGAAGGCTCAGGGTCTTGTTTTGTCGGTGATTTACACAAACTCACGCTGTATACGCGCTGAAGGCTAGTAAAGACGTCACATCAGCTCTGGGTGTTAGATTGTGGAGTAATGTGTCAGCCTTAACTTTTATACAATTGTTTTGTGTCTTTTAGGTTTATTATGTTTTACCTTTGGCCAGATGTGTTGCAATATTTTAGGTTTTTTTTGTATTCTCGCAAGCCATCAGCGATATAGTTTAATATTCTCACAACAGTCTTTAGCCTTCAGTAACTGATATTTCCTTTCCTTTTTGCAGGGTGTCTATTCCTTTCCTTGGGATGCTCAATCAGATGCTTGCTAACAGCTGCTTTGAAATCTTCGCCACTCAAGAGAAGTGAGTAATGCAACAGCTTCCATTAGTACGGTTTGTTTGAATGTGATGTGAGGGCTGAACTGTTCTGTCTCTTTTCAACAGTCATCAGTTCTGTGTCGACATTTTGGATCTTTGCAAAGAATTCAAGAAGTCCAAAGTTATCGCCAAGTTGCGCGTTTCTATATCTGTGTAAGTCTTCATCTCAGTGACACATTATTTACTCGACTGAGGAAAAAGTCACCCCCCCCCCGTGTTGACAAAGCTGTTTTGTGTTTCCCAGCTTCTGTGGTTTGATCCAGTTCCAAGGGGAGGTGAGGAAGAGAGTTCTGGCCCAGCTGCTGATGCTGCTCTGCCACCCCTTCCCCGTGGTGAGTTCACTAGACAGCCTTAAAGCTGGAGAAGGTTCTTTTTAGCGTCATTGAGCAAAGAAATCTAAAAAAATCTTTCTTAAAAAATCTAAATAAACCCCCATCCTAAGTGATCACCGGGCTCTTTAGTGAGCACCATCATCAGATTTGAATTTGTCAACTGGTTCCTTTAGCTTTAATTTGTGTATAGTACTAATTAGCAAATGTACGAATGCTAATGTTGTGGAGATGGTGAACATGGTAAACCGTATAACTGCTTTACATGAGACTGTTAGCATTATCATTTTTGGGCATTTACAAAACTACCAGCATGGCTTACCGTGTCTCATTTAGTGTTATTCCGTATTAACTCTCGCTATCTTGAGTAAACAGGTGTGTTAACTCTGACAAATTTGAAAAATGCAGCACAGTGTGAGTACCTTCATGGTGCATTCATGACGCTTAAAAAGGTGAGTGTGGAACGCTGGACACTTCTTAACTTCAATGGTCGCCAAGTGCGGTCAAAGGCTTCATCCCGTTGCAAGTTTTACTTTACTGAAGAAAAAGCTGTTACATTTTGCACCAGATGTGTTGGATTTGAGAGATGGTGTACCACATGGAAGTGTGCTAACGGAGTTATCCAAACTGAGATAAAGCACTAGTCTGGTTTGTTTACTCTGCTTTCTGTAACCACATCTAAAAAAAACATAAAAAATAACATCCTCTCTGTCACGTGTAGATCAGAAAGACGACGGCCGGCCAGATGTACGAGATGCTGCTGACCTACGATGATGTCATAGATCCAGAAGTGTTGGATGATGTCCTGACTCTGCTCAGCGATGCTAACTGGTGAGTGGTCACATTGGATGATTCATAAATATCCTTGTGTTGTTAAATGCATTTGCTATGTATAGGACACATTGATGTGCTTCATGTTTATTCCAGGGAGAGCGACCTTGAAACAGTACGAACCCACAGGAATCAGCTCTGTGATTGGCTGAAAGTCTCCCAGCCAAGGAAGATTACCAAGGTAACTAGGATTTCTTTATGCAGATCAGGGCTCTCGACTAACTTTTCTCACCATCCTCCCGGAACCGTCCCGAAATACAATCTAAGCCGTCCCGAAATTAATGTGGACCGTCCCGAATTTAAAATGTTAGTTTTTCTACATTATCATTAGTTAAAATCATTCAAAGTGACCTTTAACATAAATAAATCATACAAATCATTAGATGATAATTCATCAACCTTTTTATTTGAGTAAATCATTCAATCACATAAACAAAGGCCTAATACATTTAAACAAATGAGAAAATTACTCTAATATTGAATCCAATCAAGTCCCATCCAATTATCAAAAAAAATCCAACACTGTCCTGAAGACAGAACCCAGAGTAACCACTAACCAGGAGGACAGTCTGTAACACAGTCAGGAGACCTTTACAAACGGCCCCGCCCCCTCGCACACAGACGGGAGAGAGAGATCTCGTCTGGATTGGAAAGGTAGAAAATACATCATAGACGCATGTTGTAGTCTTATTGCGTATTAGAAACAGAGTTGGCGAAACTAAAACTGCGATATAATGTGTATGTAGCAATAATACATATATTTTTTAGATGTCTCCAGTACCGACAAAAAGTCCGACAGCGTGGGAGCTTAACGTTACCACTGTCTTTAATAATTCCGGCCAAGGGCCCGTTTAATACCAGGGCTCGGTACCCATCCCTACATGGGGAGAGGCGCAGCATATTGCTAAGGACTAAATACGATGGAGGGTTCTCTTCTCAGCCTTATTACCCATAGGGGATGAAGAGGAGTAAGTAAATAAAGAGGCTGGCGATCCAGGGTCTGGTTCTGCTGTGCGTTTTTGTGATGCAACGGTAAAACATTTCAGAATTCCTCCACGGGATGTCATTGTACATCACTCAACCCGCGAAATACACACACTCAGTACATAGCTAGACCCGCGAATTTGCGGCCCAGGAATTCGCGGGCACAGCCAGCTGTGTAGCTGTAGCTTATGGACTCAGAACAGTCTCATAATACACACATGCACACAGAAGGATTCACACTTGTATTTCCGGATCCACACTTGTGTTTTTCAATGCACACACAAATGTGTTCCGTTTCATATACATGTAAATAAAATCCAAATACAGAAAAAAGTTTTACATATGTATTTTTGATCCTCACATATTAGTTTCCCGTTTAAAACCGCTGCACCTGCAAACACAAACCGCTTTCTGTGCACGGATCGCTTTGCATTCGTGTGTGGGTTTTTTGAGACTCCCCTGACGGTCAGCCGATTCGTACTTGTAATTTTTCTATCTATAGCCAATCAGATGTCTCCTCAATTCTAATCACATGAGCGCACCCCCACGAGGGTAGATTTCTTGCGTTCATGATGTAGCGCTTCATGTACGCATTTTGCGCAGTCCGGAGCTGACAGCTCCATGGAGCCTGCCTGCAGGCGCTAATCTCAGGACACCCTCCACTCTCAATACAGCGCCACTTTCCGAACAGGAAATGCACGCAAATACAAACCTTTATATTATTAAGGTACAGCGCCACTTTCCGAACCATTGATGAATGCTTGTGTACACAAAAACGGCAGGCAAAACCGTTTTAAATGTGTTTTTCCTGTATGGCGAATACAGCTGCTTTATTTATGTCTGCATGAAGTTGTTGTGAGTGTGGAGGGAGCAGCTACAGGTTAGCTAATCGATCAGTGCACTACGAAGCCAGTGCTCGACAGTGACCTGTTAACGGGGGGGAGCCCCGCCGGTCATTATCGGCCGATATTCACTCTTAATAGTTTGATCGGTGCTCTCTATAAAGGCCGATCAGGAGAGCTGGATCTGATCGATATGGACATAAACGCGAGTGAAGTATAACCGGACGCGAGAGAGAGATCAGATCAGCTGCTGAGTCTGACGGAGACACGCTGCTCTGCATGATCGAAGCTCCGCCCTCTGTTTAGCGAGCTGACCGGACTGCGCAAAATGCGTATATGAAACTCTTACCCTCGCTCATGTGATTGGCTTAGAATGAAGGAGACATCTGATTGGCTATAGATAGAAAAATTACAAGTACGAATCGGCTGACCGTCAGGGGAGTCTCAAAAAACCCACACACGAATGCAAAGCGATCCGTGCACAGAAAGCTGTTTGTGTTTGCAGGTGCAGGGAATTTAAACGGGAATCTAATATGTGAGGATCAAAAATACACATGTAAAACTTTTTTCTGTATTTGGATTTTATTTACATGTATATGAAACGGAACACATTTGTGTGTGCATTGAAAACACAAGTGTGGATCCGGAAATACAAGTTTGAATCTGTGTGTGTGTGTGTGTGTGTGTGTGTGTGTGTGTGTGTGTGTGGTGGTGTGTGTGTGTGTGTGTGTGTGTGTGTGTGTGTGTGTGTGTGTGTGTGTGTGTGGTGTGTGTGTGTGTGTGTGTGTGTGTGTGTGTGTGTGTGTGTGTGTGTGTGTGTGTGTGTGTGTGTGTGTGTGTGTGTGTGTGTGTGTGTGTGTGTGTGTGTGTGTGTGTGTGTGTGTGTGTGTGTGTGTGTGTGTGTGTGTGACACTATTTTTTCCGACGACGGGACGTCCTTAAGCTCGAGCCCTGATGTAGATACAAACAATTACAATGTTGTGTTGTTCACCTGGTTGGACTGAGTTCACAATACAAAGGGGCTTTATTGGCATGACCACATTTTAAGCATAGTACTGCCAAGCATTCCGCACAAGGCGTTATAATAAAACAAAAAAAGAAACACTAAACATAAATGTCAACAATACGTGTGGCCCAACAGCCAAACACAACCCTAACTCTACCCCCTCTCTTCCATCACCAGAACCCTGTCCCCAGCTGAGCGTCATGTAGGAGGACACCGTGCTGTAAGAACTAATAAAGGCTCTGCTCTTCTGAAGCTGCAATGCATGTAACAAATCACAGTCTTTAGTTGTACATGACAATAAATGGACGAAAAACATCAAGATATTTCCCTTTTTTTGTTATCGCTATTGCAGTTACAAAATGGGCCTGTTCAGAGCCAGCCGACTGCTCATGATTTAGCTTTCTCAAAAACCATTCATCCAAACAACTTCAAACTGCGCCTCCCTGGGTCCCACACACCACCTGCTGTGCCAGTTCTGGTTCTATGGAGACATTTTGTATTATTAATATACAAGACTTAATAAGGGAACGGAGAGAAAAGACTAACATACTGTGCTGTCATGTTTCATGTCAAAACAACCAAAGCAGATTCAAATGTTTTAATTGAGTTCTGAAGGCTAAACACGTAGGAGTTACCAGCACCACTTAAGCGATCAGAAACCAAAAATAAAGTCACTAAATGTTGGTTGTTATTTCAAAAACCTTCACAAACTCACTTCCCCTGGTATGGAGGAAATCTGCTCCTCACAGAGAGGAGAGGCGAAGTGCTCCGAGGCCTTCACGTTTGTAGCTCTACAACATGCTTTAAATTCTATCATGTTGCGGTATGCCCTCAAGGGTTTTGAGATGTCAAAAGGCGGACGGTCTTCAGATTTTCCTGTCACCGTCACTTTGGCTCAACTGGCTTGTGCTTTTTAATTAACGAGGACGATGGGATTCATCATTAGAAGAAAACGCTCACAATTATGCATTTTGAGACCCTCTCATGAATCTGGGTAGACGTTTCTCAAAAATCAATTTAAGAAAAAAAGTGAGAAAAAGTGTGTGAAAATAAACATTTGTGCGCTCGATCTGTTTCTCTCTCTGGTGTTTTTACAACTTCCAAACCAAAAGCTTTCATTGTGGTTTTCTTTGCGTAACAACTTCATCACATTCCCCATTGAGGTCACAGTCTAGTGAGACTTAAATGTAAATGGTATCAATAGAGTTGTTTACTTGTAACCTGTACCTGGAACCACACAGAAGGTGAAAGTCACACTGTGGTTTGCGTAGACTCCGGGGAAATGCTTTGCCATTTAGCCGTTTTGGCACAAACCGTGGAATGTCACTGGGGCCCGGCTTCCCCTCGGGGCCCATGCAGACCTACTTTTTCTGCATCAGTGGAGGTGCCAGGGACTGGAGGAGTCCCAGGCTGATAGGGGAGCCTCCCTGGATGCCTGTGGAACAGAGCCTGTTGTGTCACCATCGGGCCAGGCCTTCTCATTACGGGCTGATAGTGGCCACATTGTCTCAGCCAGCTTCCCTGCCTCATTGACACAGACACAAAAGTTGCATTATTTAAGAATTAGGTGGTTTCTGGTTGTTTATTGTACATTGCAGAAAACTCCCCATGCTCATAATCACAATATTGAATTAAATTTGTCTGTAATATGATCAATTTAACTAGGTTTCATGGACATGGCTATTTCGGCTCATAAAACTAGGTTGAAGAAAAGTTGTTATTTTTATCCCATATGTTTGGCTTCGTGTATTGCAGCAGCTATTCTAATTGTGTGTGTGCTGCCCAATAATATGTAACATCTGACGATTATTGCCTGTAACTGGATAATCAGGAAAACTTCAACTTTGATTCCAAACACTGTTGAAATGGGTCATCCCTAACTTGTGGTTGATTAGTATCAGAATGAGAACTGCACCCTGACACAGGCTCATGACTTCCAAGTGAGCATCACAGTTCCTGATTCTGTTAGCATAATTGCTCAATCATTTTAAGATTGAATTTAATTGTTTTTACAGTTCTTTGTACACATTTCTTTTTGCTTAAATCCAATAGAAATGAACATTGAACACGCTTCTACGAGACATCATTTTTGGTATAAAAAAAATGGTGTGCAGGAGTTACCAATTTACAACGGTCAATTGTGGCCAAGAATAATGGATTATGAACTGTTGCTAGGTGTCATATCGCTAAATTGCCGCTGAGTTTGTGCCCCTGACAAGTAGCTTAGCTAGCCTCTTACCATTCTCATTAACAAGGCCACATTCACTCTTACCCTCCATGGGTGTTGTTGAATTTGTCTGGCTAGTCCAATATTGCTGCAGCCCATAATTCGACTTTAATTAATTCCCAGTCAGATTGAAATTCCTGTAGATTCTAATGAAAGAAATGGTGTGTTTCTCTCAGGGCGGATTGATGGTAAAGCGAGCAGCTTTGCTACAGTGCTCGGGGTGGAGAGGAATGCTAATAATTCTAAAAGGCTTACAGTTCGACAGCAGTAGCCATGGCGATTCTTCACATACAATGGTGGTCTTTTAGAGGAGTGGGGAGGGGAGGTGGGCTGCTCCTGTATTGACTCAGTATAGTGTGATATTAGGAAAGACCTCGGTGCACTTTCCACTGTTCTGGTGATTATGAGATTAAGTGGTACCCATAGCAATTTGCCCAAGGTAACGATGATGGAGTGAAGAGGGCTCGAGATCTGTCCATATAGAACAAGGCAGGCAACGGTCTACAGCATTTCTTAGATTCATTTCATTTTATGTCTACAAAATAAATCCAATCTGACCTCTGAAAAAAGAAAAGTGACAGTGTTGTTAGTCATTATGTAGCCATCATCTCTCTCATATGAAATTGATATGATTTGTAACCTTTCTGAGCTCATGGTTTTTATTATGGTCCAATCTTTTTTTTTTTTATGGCTCGGAGGACAATGTGAGTGCTTGTGCAGTTTTACCGTAAATGGTTGTTATTGCTCAGAGTAAAACAGTGTGTTTCTAATTAACCCTCATGATCCACTGATGATTATCAACATCATAGAAGCATATATAATTAAAAGCTCTTCCGCTTTCACAATCAATGATTCGACTGTGGTGGACACAGAGGCAAATGTGACACTAATTGCCCCCCAGATAACCTGTTAATCATTCCGTTTTCTACATCTTGTGTCCTGAGGCATGTCGTTTTATATCACAACATTACATTCATCAGTATTTCAGCACACTAAATCTGATAATGTTGCAAGATTGCACACTTTGTTATTCAAGAGCTTATGCAGAGACACTGAAATGCAGAAATGTGGAACCTTTGCTTATGAAAACTGGCTTTAAACAATCATATCGTAGTTGTTCCTTATAACAGTTTAGAGGTACTTCTGACACCTATGGTTAAACTGAATGTCTCAGTTAAGCTTCACTATGAGATGGAGCTGCTGAGAGTTTATTATTGCCAGGTGTAACTCCTGCTGGGACTTCCTGTGTATGGCATTAACACCTGGTGTAGGAGCAACAACCCTCCTCCCGCCTGTTAGTCAGCTTCATTAGTGTTGCTCGGGTCCTAATTGCCCTAATTTATTGAGTGGGGGTACTCTGGAGCAGCTGTTACAACTAGCTTTGAGTTCAGGACTCCTATAAATGAAGTTTAAACGTATTATTATAAACTGCCTCTAAGGTAGACATGTAACTTTGAGGGTTTTAGTTTTTATTTACTTATATTAAAGTTCACCTATTGTGCAAAATCCACTTTTTCATGTCTTTTATACATAAACATGTGTCCCCTCCCCTCTGAGTAAAGAGATTCTGAAAGTTTCAGGAAAAAAGATTCTCTCACTTTTTGTGAGATCCATTTATATAAAAACCCGTCTGAAAATGAGCTGATCAGATTTTGGCCACTTTATGTCATAACCAGTGCTGCACATAACTGGTGCGCAGGTGCGCATGCGCACCTCCGCCAAAAAAAGAGCACCGGGTCATTTGAAACGAAGCGCATTTGCGTACCAACATTGAGAGGGAGAGAGAAAATAGAGGAGAGATGAGAGAGAGAGAAGAGAGAGAGAGAAAGATATTTGCGAGTTGCATATGAACCATGATATGAACTCAGGGCCGGCCCGTAGCACTGGCTAGATGTTCGCCTAGGGCGCCAGATCTGGGGAGTCGCTGCGCTGGCAGTTCTGGGAGGGAAAAAAACATTTTGACCGTTGGGGCTCATCCTAATTTTCGGCCTTGATGTAACAATATTCATAATTAAGTAAATGTAACACCCTTTTCACCCCGGTTACACGTTTCATTTGCCCTGTACGATGGGCGCTGTAAGTGATGAAAATGGGGGATGTTGGCTTATCTGGCACCCGCAGCTCACAGACAAAATGCGAGTGAGAGAGGGAGAGAGGGAGGGTGCACCGGTACCAGCGCTGTTGTTATTATAATCTGGTGCCGTGCTAGCTGCTCTAACGGAGATAAGAAGAAGATGTTTCTACAATAATGTGGAGGGAGAGTCCTCTCCAGTCAGACTGAGAGACTGATAAGTTAACTACAGCTCAGTGAGGTAAAGGACTCTTAGTCTAAGTTCAAACGGTTTGGTCACAATTTATGTAAACACATATTTCCAAGGCACTCCTTTGTAATTATTGGGATAAACAGGTTTTTAATCATTCCAATGTATACTATAGGACAGTAACCAAAAATATCCTTTAAAACTGGAGAGATAAAAAAAAATGCATAAATAAATAAATGTTAAGGTAAAATAAGATATGAATGAACAACACAAATAAAATAAGTTACATTAATTTGTTATTGGCTATGGTAGGCTATTGGTTATGTTCACATACTTATTTGATTACATCCACTTGTCTGAGATGACAACAGAGACTTTCGACCCAAAACCAGCTGTTGACTTGTGGATGCAAGCAGCTAATGCTCCTCCTAGAGCACCATAGTGTTCTTTTTAACCAAATATCTCGCAGAGGGGCGTGGGGAGTGGCTCCTTATTTTCATCTAAAGTAAAAGACAGTCAGCACTTTTGGAACAGGGCTGAAACAGAGGGGATTATGGGATGCTACAGTGCATGATCTGTTTGGTATTTCGATCCAAACACTTCAGAGACATGTTTTGTATATATCTGAGACCTATTATATATTGATGAAAAACAGTATTATAGGCGACCTTTAAGTTTATGATTTGATAAGACCGAGAAGAATATCAGCATATACTCTCCGCTGAATGCTATGAACATTGTGGATATGGAACCATAAAGATACACTTTAGGAAATTGCAGAAACAAAGTTTTTAGTAGAAATGACTGAAGATGATAATTATATGACTGATAGAAATAGCAGAGATATGATAATTACATGATTGATAGAAATAGCAGAAATGCTATAATTATGAATATGACAGCTGATGCGGTCTCCCTCCAGGAAACCACAGTATTTATACGTTTCCAAAAAGCCATAATCAGCAGCACACCAGGCATGCACGCTCTGCCTCGGAAATTACCACGTTGTTTAGAATTATAGTAATTTTGAAATGGAGGCAGCTGGATAAGTTTGGCATTGTGGGTTAATTGCAAAGCCTACTTCCTTTTATAGACCACAGGTTAATGGAGAGTGCGTTGTTATGTCAACAACACACACATATTCTTATAAACAATTTGGCTAAGTGAATATCCTGTTCTGCTGCTGACCTACGTTACTTTGTTGCTCAATCCCTATTGGACAGAATACCAGAAGTCTGTCAAAAGTGATCGGGCTAGCCTAACGTCACATCATCTTAAATGTGTTGTTGTTTCAGTTTTTTCAGACAATAGGCACTTTGTATGTCCTCTAACCACCTTATCGAAGCAGTCTGGTAGTCTGTGCGGGAGAGAATGTGGTTATGACCTGATAAACTGTTATCTGGGCTGTGTTTTCTGAGGGTATGCTGGCCTTGTCTGAGAGCAGGCCCCCTCCAATTAGCCTTCCTTCCTTTCTGCTCCTGTCCCGTAGGAGCCATTATCAGCTTCAGCACTTCCCAGATTCCACTCATTTCAACAATATTCGTTATAGGTTTGTATACAATGTCTATCTGAGTAGTGATGTACAGATGCTCCTGTGTTGTTGTTGCGTGGGGGCGGGGCAGGAGAGGAGGTTGTCGGCCAGCTGGTCTGTTGGGGTTACAATGATATCAAGAGGCCTGCTGAGAGAGCCTGGTGGGCTTCTGGGAAACGTCTTCCCTTGTCTGTTTGATTAAAGAAACTGAGGACTGCTTACTTAGCATCACTCTGGGTTGTCATGGTATTTCGGTCAGATAAGGTGTGTTGTTATTTTTTGATAAGACTAAATGTAGCCTTGAAGCGGTGCTGTTTTTTTTCTTGTTTGCCTCCTTCATATGTGTTTCAGTGCTTTTTTCTATAGCCAAATGATCTTTTCTTAAGATGTACCTCCTCTTCCTGTCATCACTCTGGCCTTGGTTGAACTTCAGAGAGTCTGAAGACTTAGTTTCTGGCCCTGTGTGCAGAGACTGTGTGCTTCTGCTGTTGTTCTATACTTGGAGAGTGACTTCATGGATGTCAGGGGCCTGGCTCGCCTCTCGTTTGGACCGCGGCCAGAATGAGCTCATCCATGACAGCAAACCCAGCTGTTTCTTTCTCGAACTCTGCACCCGGCTCTGGACCCAGGAGCCGGCTGGTGTGAGGATGAGGGGCTGGTGTGAGTGTGAAAGCGTTCCCAGAAGCCCCGGCAGCGACTGACCACTGGCAGCCTGCCGCCCCCTCGGCGCCTGCTCAGCAGCACGGCCTCAGGCCTCCGCTGTTCCCTATGGAGAGGCCCAGTTTGTTCTGGACACACGCCAGCACTGAGCGGCAGGGGGCATAGCCAGGTCAGCTCTCAGAGGTGGTCTTGTAGTCAGTGTGTGTGAATGTATGTGCATGGGCGATGTGTTTGGAGCCAAAATGATTAGCTTGTGTTTTGTTTTTGTGTGATTCTATTATTTTTGCTTTAGTGTTAAGCCTTCGGGCTGTAAGATCTCTCTGTCTTTGTCGATCCTTTGCAGTGTCCTGGGAATGGAGAGGAGGGCAGAACATGAAAGGGCATGGTTCCAACTCATCTAACTTTTCTAAGGAGGTTTACGCTGACGTGCTACTGGTCCTGAGGGAAATAAGAGTTAGTCAAATAAATACTTTACCCACAAAATGACAGTTTTTATATCTATTACTTACCGTGTTGCCTTGAGTTCTTGAAGACAACCTTGTTTTTCTGAAAAACTCAGAAAAGTCTTTGAGATGAATTAAAGTATGAGCCTTGGTCAACAACTGCAAAACCATAGTGAAATATGCATTAAATAAACTCTTGTGTTGTATAATGCAAATCTCACTTAGCCCAGTGGTATGTAATAAAACCTTACTATGGAAAAAACCTAAGTCTTGCTTGGACTCGCACAGAAGCGTGAGTGTTGCAATGTTTTGATAAGTCTTTTTAGTCATTGTTTGAGAAGTAGTAAGCATACGATCAATGAGGCCTGGATTATACCGCACAAGTTGTGTAAGAGTTTGTAAACAGTTGTTTTCATATGGTTTTGCTGTTGTTAAATGTGACCCCAGATGAATTAAATTCAACAAGACTTGATGTTTATTCGTTCACCCTGGAGGCACACGGGGGAAAAAAAGTTTTCTTTAAGAATTAAAGGTAACAAGTGAGTTACCAGGTGAGTAATTTAAACAGTGCTGAAGCGTTCCTTAAATGACAAAGAGATGACTGCATGACCATTCTGAGTGGAGCGGTGCCGCGCTATCAGTAATATCAGCCTGAGTTAGAGCTCTCTGGAGCATATAAGGTATCCACAGCTAGTTAGGTAGCCCCCGGGGGGGAGAGATAGCTCCACCTGGCTAAGTGAGATTCGGTTAGCGAGATTATTCCGTCACTCAGAGCTAACGCAGTCAATCTGGTCTCAATCTGCGGCATAGATCACGTGTGGGGGCAGCCAAAGGTCAGGACCTCAGAAGGAAGCATATCTCTTTACTCCTCCTCCTCCTCCTCCTCCTCCTCCTCCTGATCTTGTGCTCTACTGTGGCCACCTCCTCCAACCCTGCAAGCCGCTCCTGCCTGACCTCACCATTTGGAATCCATTATCCAACCCCACTCTGAGTTTTCAGATAATGAAAAGGAGACGTTCTCCCATGTTCCCCCTCAGATTAACGGCTGTTCCCTGGGTTCAGCCTGTTGGAGGGCTGACACAGCGGAGAGGTGGGTGGGAGCTCTGGAGACTCTAGGGCTGGGAGTAAAGGGCCTGGGGTGGGGTGGGGGGGTAGGTAGATGTTGGTGAGCCATGTGCTTCAATTGGACAAGACATATTAAGTTGCTAGGATTACAGATTCAGGGAGGGTCTTGAAGAGGCTGTTGAAGAGGCTTCCTTCTGGGGTACAGTTTGGAGAAGCCCAGAGCTGTGGTTTAAAAAAAATAAAAAAAACTATCAAAAACATCTGTCACGTAGTGTAAGTCCTATTCTGGGCCAATGGGGTCAACTCTGGACCCAATTGGATCCGCTTGCAGAGTTTGGCTGCTTGACATGTAGGTCAGAAACTCTGTGATTGCAGCTTATTGCTACAATATCATAAAACTATCCCAACAGAGGTGCTCTTGGTCAGATTGAGTTAATCATACGTCTCTAAAATTGTGTTTGACAGCGAACACTTTTTGTTTTAGGTTCTGGCTAAACTGGGTATTTGCAGTCCATTTCCCTTTTCCCAGTCGATACAAATTTCACCCATTATTCCAACACCACGTTATATGATCATACAAATCTACAGCTCTGATGGCAGCCATAAGTAACATAAAACCCCTGTCCAAGCCTGGTCCAAACACATGTATTCAGTTAAACACATCCATAAATAATGTATTATGAAGTATACGTGGAAAACTTGTACTGGAGAGAAATGTGTCAGAGGCAAGAAAAGAGAAGAGAGAAATGTGTTAATGAAATCATGATTATTTTTAATTAGTGAGAAAAACAGATGAGTCATATCAGATAGCATCAGTTCAAGTTTCAGGTGATTCATTTCCCACTCACACATCCTCCATATCTGTGTGCACATCTGCAGGACTCAACCATGTGGTCTCAGACGATTATTATCAGATTGCATGGAGCAACACAGAGTTTGCTAATTTTTCCTGAACATTTAAAAGTAACCAATTAGCAGTGTGAACTGGGTCAGAGGCAGTCAGTAGTGTGTGGTGGGGGCATGTGATGAGGCTGTAACACTGAGTATATCTGATGAGCCACAGTTGGGCTCTCCGGGGCATGAGGATGAACCGTGGCTGGTCTTGAACTTGTGACTTGCAAACAGACGGACACTTCACAACCGCGGGACCCAAAGATCATCACAAGACCCGCAAATCAGATGATACGGTGAGTATTTTCATTTTGTGTTTTCTTCACAGTTACATTCGCCTGTCATGTGATGCACCATATTTCTATAGGGCAGTAATTTTTCAATATATGCTTTAGTGGAAACACTGTTGCATCCTGTTCTTTATATAAGTTATGGTTGGGATGTATTTGTTCTTTAGGGCTTTGGAGTTCATGTTCAAAAGAGGTTGAGTAAAGGAGTCTTGATATCACTCTTCTCTGTGGACCTCACAGACAGATCCAAGCCACTTCAAAAGCAAAATGCTTTTGTGGTTAGCTGCATCTGCTACAGAATATATTAGAGGTAGCATCTAAACTTACATTTGACTTAACAGCTAACTTTTGAGAGATCTTTGATATGTTTTCAACACCTCTCACTTCAATAACCATTTCTGTTTGTCCATGTACGATTTTTTTTTAAACATCTAAAATGTGGTTGAAGCCACTCTTTAGTCTTGTCTGGTTAACCTCAGCGGAACAAATCCATGTCTTGTTGTTCAAAAGCAGCAGCCTGTCTCTCTGTAAGCCTGACAGCCTCCGCTTTAAAAAAACACCAAAGCCCCGTTTCTTTACTCAGTCTTTACAACAATTTCTGCTGTTATTGGAGTAATTGCGCTCCAAATTACAGGGCTGGAAGCTGTGACTTTCAGGTGGTTGGAGTTTACATACTCGGCGTAACCTCTGCTTCCTTTGAAATCTTTCAGCTGTTCATGCCTCATTTCCCTCCAGCCTCCGGTGAACACAATGACCAGAGTAGTTGCACCGTGCAAGACGTGTGTGGGTTATTAACATGATAAATATCACACTAGCTACAGAGCTGCCATTTACCCGCAGTTGTGAATAGAGCACTTAAACACATGTTTAATATAAACCACCCCTAGGAAATAGATTTTAGAGTGGAAGTGACTGTGATCATTCTTTTATGTGTACGGCAACATACATCAGGCTTGACTTACACACTGCTTTCCAGCTCTTTTAAATCAAACTGTAAGAAATAAATACAAAGATAATATTGCTCTGAATTGTTGTTTAGGATTAAAATAATGGATTGTGCCCCAGCGAAATGTAGTAGTGCTACTACTACTGGAACACACTGGCTCTAAAGTTATTGCATGTGTCCATAGAACACATTGGACTAATGAATCACCATCAATCAGCTAAAAAGCTAGCTTCCTCAGCTATGCAGTCTATCGGCATGCTGCTGACACAAGACCTAGTATGTGCACTTATTATAAGAAGTTAACACAACATTGAATAGATTAGCCCCATTGTCACCAACCTGATCCAGCTGTTTGATTCAGTTAGGGCCTGATATCAGTATCATATTGATGTTCCCCTAAAGTTTCACCATACTGATCAACCAGCACATGTGTCTCAAGGTAGATTTCTGTTGTTGGAATCTCAATACATCTGTGTATGCTGCAAGCACATGTGCAAATGTTGGTGTTTACATTCAAATGTAAGGAATGTCTTTGAAATCAATAATATGCTGCATGCGGGCAAAGCAAAGAGAGTTTCAGCAGAGAAAGGCGCTTCTGAGTGAGTGATGCCATGCCCCTCTCCCCCACATGGCAGGCCTGCTGCTGCGGTCATGGGTCGACATCAGCCTAATAACAAGTTTGCCGCTCTGCTCCAATCAGAGGAATTCAGACATCCGCCCAGGCCAGCCTCCCTCCTCTCTCTATTTCTCTATTTTAAGAGCCAGACTGAGGGGGGTGGAATTACACTCCAATATACTTAATCATTTCCATCAGTGATGTGGGATACTGAGCAGGGACTGAACCTTCCCTCAGAGCTACAAGGCTGTTTCCATGAGGCACGTCCACTATCCACAGTAATGGCCTCAATAGGTTTAACGGAGATCACCGCACAACTACCATTGCTATAAAAAACGTTTTGAAACTGTCAATCATTTGCGTCACTCACGCTTTGAGCGGTGTGGCGTGATCAGACTCATTTTAGTGCTGAGGAAAGAGAGAGAGGGGAGATTTGGGATGAGTAGACGAAGGATGGACACTGGATGCGGTTGCAGCGGTTAGCCAGCAGCTGTCATCCTAAATGACTGACTCAACTCTAGGAAGTGGCTTTTGACATACAGTCTAAAAAGGAAGTGTGCACGTTACTCTACAATGAACTGTTTATCAGTTATTTTGTTCTCCACTTAATATCTAATGTGCCCAGTGTCAAAGTAGCAGTATTGTCACTGTCTACTTCATCCCATGGTTTTTCCCCACCCCCTCTTTAAGCAACATTATTAAAAAAATGTCTGATGTTCCTCAGACAGAGGAGAAGATACAATTGCAGGATGTGGGATTCCCCCTATGAAATGATCATCCCCCGTTTATGTGGTTAAGGGGGTGGAATGGGGGGCAAAGGAAGGGAAAAGCTCAAAAGTGTGCAGGCGAGCTTCACTGTCGGGAAGATCACAAAGACTTTGGCGGGAGGGTGGCTGTGATGTGGCGGCCCGCTGACACACAATGCCACCAATTCTGTCCCTGGGTGGCCACAGTTGAATGCTGCTCACAGGACAGCCCCGGCCTTCTGCTGCATGAAATACAAAGTTACTCAAAGACAGCGTGGATGGTCCCTGAATCTGGTACCAATCTGGATAACTGTTGATGCAGAGCAGTCCAGTTTACATATGCCGTGAAACGCATAGAGGCCAAAACAGGTTGTCCCATGACCGACAATTAAACCACATTGTTCATAGGAGTGAAATTAGTCATTGCTGTCATTTGGATGAAGTTGGCCAATCACATTTTGTTGTGGCATTCATCCAAGCGAATCA